GTAACTACTGCTATAAATAGGAATGGCCAATGTAAATATGGCCAGCAAAGATGTGAATGTAAATATGAATAAATCCAAACCCAATATTCTTTGCAGTTCAAGGAACAGTTGGGCAATGTTCCTTGAAACTGATGTGGCAGGATTGCCATTATTGCATTATGAAATACATCTTTGCTGACATGAATAAAAAGCATTGAAGGTATGCCACCCTCCAAGAAAACAAGAAAGTTCCGTGTGTTTTACCTGGATCTGAAAATATAATAGTTCCAACTCATAGAACCATATAAAATAAGGCAAATAATCATTTTGTTTTTAAATCAGGGGTGGCATCTAGTTTCTAAGCCAAGTTAAAGATGGTGGCGGTTATTTTTTACCTCAGACCAAAATGGCCTGTGCCCTCTCAGACCCATTTTTACCACTGGCCATGGTGAGGTGGCTGCTTCAGGTTGCAGATGGGGTGCGAGGGCTAGCTGTGCAATAGAGCAGCACAAGCTATGGGGCTCACTTTGCTCCTCTACAGCTTTCTGCACTCTCAGGTGCAGTAGAGACTGCTCCTGAGTCACCAGTGTTGATCGATATAAGATGAAACCGGCTGTCTGATTGCTTCCGTACACAAGATTTTGGCTGGAATGGAGAAGAAGCCACCCCAAAGGCACACCTTGTCCCATATATTCCTCCCCATCCTCTGAGGTTAATTGCAACCCTGCTTTGGGGGGGTGTCTTCTTTTATGAGGTAAAATTGGTCTGAATGCAGAATAGAGTTTTCTGCAGTGGCACCATCTTTTGGGGAACTCCTTGCCCAGAAAAACTCACCTTTCAACATCCTGGTATTCTTCTCTTTGCTTAATTACAATCTGATGTTCTGAGAGGGATTTTCCCCCAGGGGTTAGCTACTGCCTTGCCCTCCAACTGTTCCATCTTGTGCTATAATGTATTTCAATTGTTTGCTTCATTTCTTGTGGCCTTTTGTTTAGTTTTGTTATTCAACATGTAGTGTAATTTAGACAGAGAAATGTGCTATAAACACAATTTTAGTAAAAACAAACAAATACACAGAGAAAAATGCAAATCCAGGAGGAGAGCTGATGACATGATTGCTACAGTACACAGACAAATAATAATAGTAATAGATAGCATTTATAGACCACTTTGTAAGTTGAAAAACCTGAAGAACACGGCCAGATAGCCTGAAAAACCTACAAAAACCATTGGATCCCAGCCTTGCAAGCCTTCAAGAATACACTTTGAAAGTATTTGAATCTCTTCATATTTTATCTCAGAACACCTTCCAACAGTCCTGTGAGGTGGATCAAATTTATTATCTCCTGCTGTACAGCAGAGGATGGCCTTTTGAAGCAGGCTTAAGTTATACCAAAACAGACTGTTTTGTCTATTTAACCCAGGACTATGAATAGCAACAATTTTTCAGAGTCTCATGCAGGAGTCATGTATATCTGGATATATTCAGGATTGAACTGAGGACCTTCTGCAGGCAAATAATACTTCTTGCACTTAAAAAAAGCCAAGATGCTATATTTCCCCTCCTCTCTCACTCTCTGGCAGTAGGTCTCAGAACGGTCTTTACTTGGGCTATAGGGAAGTCCACAAAACAATCGTTTCTTAAATGACAATGGAGAAAACTAAGTGCTAACACATGAAAAGTTTTTTGTTTTGTTTTGTTTTTTGCTGGCAACAGGTAGTTACTCTGGCTGGTTTCAGAAGTCGTGTTCTACAGTAGCAGTTTTCAAACACACAGGATCTTAGCATGCAGTCCACAAGGAGCAGTGGTGAGGCAGCCTGCCCTGAAAAATGCCTTACCCACATGAGTACAAATGCAATGCTGTCAGTTCGCAGACAGCAACAACGAAACTCAATGGCTAATCGGCCTTGCCATCAGCTGAGTGTACCCAGGACTGGCCCTACCATAGGGGTACACTAGGAGGCTACCAGGGACAAACCAAACTAGGGTTTCCGAAGAATATAAAGTAAGATAGCTGCGGATTCTAGAGCAGACTCTCAGATTACAGGGATGCCTTAAAGGTGGCTCACCTTTCAAGGTAAGCTGCCCCTCTTACTGCCTGGACTACAGGTTACCTATGCAGAGCTACTCCTGACGACGAAGCCTTCAACACATCCGAGAATTCTTTGTGATACCCAAGGGCAGGGATCAGGGAACTTTTTTATCTTTTACCCCCCAAAAAATTTATATAAGCCGACATTACCCCCTCGATTTTTCTCCAAATATTTAAACAAGCTAGATGAAGCCACTCTTTTTTCCCACCTTAATTCAAGCCTTGCCTATTTCTTTTTTCAGTTTTGAGTCAGTTTCTCTCACACACACACACACATCCGCCCGCCCACCCTCCATCCATTTTCTCCATCCATTTAAATAAGCTTGATGAAGCCCTTGGTCTCTCGCACCTTCCATCCCTCATTAACTGGATCATTTCCCTCCTCCTGGTTGCTTGCAGTCATCTCTGGAGGAAGCAGTCATTCTCAAGCCCCAGATTTGTTGACTGCCCGGGGCTATTCCATAGCTGTATGCAATCAAGCAGGCTTATTGCCGATCTCTGAATCAACGGATTTACAAGTGCCCTGCTGCAACCAAGGAAGTAAAAGGGAGAGGTGGCTTACAGTTTGAGGTTGGGCTGCAGGGGGTGGGGGTGGCACTCTGCTCATTACCCCCAGGATTTTCACTTTTACCCCATTTGGGGTAATTTACCCCTGTTCCCAGACCACTGCCCAAGGGTAATGTGACTTAAGTTTGTGAATGTCTCATCAGATGAAGCAATATGGAAATGGTTCTTCCAAAGGCAGGGCATTTGGAGAACAAGGGAAAAGAACAGGGCACCAGAGGTAATATGTGTCATTCAAGAATGAGAGGCTTTTCTACAACATCATCATCTCATGAACAGGGGCCATTTTTGGTCTCCAGCATCCGTCCCTCGCTAAAGAACAGTTTCTCTACAGCCATGGAGTTTGTGAGCATGGTGGTAAATTTGTTTAAATAAAGTTTTGCAACACACATATCTTTTCAGCTGTCCTAGTTCATTGATGGATCATTCAGGGACCCCAGTATTTCTAAGTTGACTTCTTGCTGCCACCTGGATTGTCAAAGGTGTAGACGTCAGCAACAGCTTTTGAAAAAGAAAGGAGCGTTTGATAATGGCCACATTATTTCAAATGATGGAAATTTTGTATGAACGCACAGTTCACCAGGACTTTGTGAAGGTTTGTTAACCTTGAGAAGGGTTTCTTCCCTTTACTTCCATGTTTAGCCCGGCAACACACGACTCTCAACCATGGATTGTACCAACAGGATTTATTATAGGTATGTCTAGAAAACTTTCAATAGTGACAGGAATATGTAACTTCTCTTCTTCACATAACGGTGTGAGGAAGGGATTAGCTTCTGGTTTCCAAAATGGTTTGAAACCTTAAAGTCCAACAGTTCAAAACCTTTCGCCAAGGAAAAGCCCATCCATGTGGCATACTGTGGAATAGACAGCAAGGGCACTCCATTCCCTCCAGATGCCCTTGGCATAGACCTGTCAAGTCCTGCTCCTGAGTATTCCCAAACACTGGGGTCTCGGGTGTTGTTGTTTCTGAGGGCCACTGCCAACTACCCCTCTGTCTCCTTTCCTTACCCAGCCAAGCTCTCTCCTGCCTGATCTTTCTTGCCCGTTCTCGAGCCTCTTTCTCACCCCAATAAGAACGCTTCCCTGGCACTATCGCTCTCCATCTCCTCTCAGCCTCTTCTCCGGGCACCATGAGCCGTTCCCATTTCTTTGTCCATCTTCTAACCAGATCCATTCCCATCCTGGGAGAAGGTTCTTACCACATCTATGTGTTTCAGCATCCCTCTCTTCCACCAACCTTTTTCTTCCTCTCCCTTCCTGCCAATCCTCACCTCCTCCTCCTCCTCCTCCTCCTTTCTTTCTCCTCACCTCCTCCTCCTCATTTTACCCCTTTTCCAACTCACTCTCTGACACCACCCCTTTTTGACCTGGCCTCTCTGGTTTTTTGTCCCTCATTCCCTGTTCTGGGCTCCTCATTTCCTCTCCTAGACCCTTCAACTTCTTTTTTTGTCCCTCATTCCCGGTTCTGGGCTCATTTCCTCTCCTAGACCCTTCAACTTCTCTGTTTATTTAACTTATATGCCACCCACGTTACCCAAAGGTCTCTGTTCCATGACTTCCTCCATCCTCGTCACTAGCAGTTTTCCTTTGTTGCTCGGTTCTTGCGCCTCTGTTGAAGGGGATCTTGAGCTCCCCACTTGCTCCATCGATGAGGGATGTCACTCTGGCACGGACATTTGTCTACTCTGCCATCCTTCTCACAGACTCGTTGAAGGAGATCTTGAGCTCCCCACTTGCTCCATGGATGAGGGAGGTCACTCTGGCACGGACATTGTCTACTCTGCCATCCTTCTCACAGACTTGAAACACTTGGCCATGTATCTGGATTTCTATTCCCAATGCTACATTTCTACCAGCTGGCCTGATAAAGAGTTCTATGGAGCTTGGAAGCTTTCATATTTTGTGCATATACTGTTGATCCCAAGACAGCTATTGCCTACCTGTGCATTTTAGACTATGGATTTTGTTTGCTCCTGGGGATGAACACAGCCTCACCCATTTTTGTTTCTGACCTCCCCCCCCCAACAAAAACGTGTTAGTTCTGCAAGACTTTCTCTTGATTCAGATAAAACGCGTGAAAGAGGAATGAAAAGCAACAAATTTTAAATGTCCTAAATAGGTGCTGTTTGGACCTACATAAAGTTTCAGTATCAAAAACAATAACGTGATTTAGTTCCAATCAATCTTTTATTTTCCACACCGTGGTTTCCCAAACTATAATTTCGGATGCAATTTCGAAAGCCGTAAAAGCTTTTACCATAGAGCTACCAAAGGACGGAGCGCCTCTCTTCCGGTATTCGCTGCTGGCCCAACAGAGCGTCTTCAATGTTTACCGGAAACTCCACCTGTCCCGTCTAATGTCTTCCTACTTTCGCGGGCAGGACCGGAAGTGCGTTATTCCAGCAAGCTTTTGCGACAGTTTGGGTCTGTGTTCTCGTGGGGGCCTTTGACTCTTATTAAATGTTACTTGAAAACATTTTTTCGTGGGAGGAGAGATTGCAAAACGGGGGTGCTTGTTGGCAGGCAGTGGGTGAAAAAGGCACTTTGCACCTTTTCCTGCAACAGCCGATGGAAGGCAGGCGCGCTTGACGGCAGCATCGAAGACGACCAGTGAGTAAGGGGTGTAACGTAGGACTGCTTGAGATTTACGTAAATGGGGAGAAAAGGGTCGGGACGTAGCTGGGGAGGGGGCGGACTGCACAGAGCTGCAGCATGTGGAGTCTTGGGTGCGTTTACTGGGTTTCCCTCGCTGTCACTCTTGCACGGCGGGCAGAAGTTCAAACAGGAAGCGTTTCTGAGGACATGTAGGTACAGAGATGGGAGAAGCTTCACCTGTTGAGTTGGTGAAGGGTAGCAACTGCAACACCTTATGGTTCAGCAGAATAATAAGTGCATTGCAAAGTGGTGTAAGGGAAGTCATAGGTCTGGGAATAGATCATATATCTCGCAAAGAACCCAGTATGATGTAGCAGATGGAGAGATGCAGAGACCACTCAACCATGGAAACTCAAGGATGGGGTAGACTGGTAAAGCCTCTCCTTAAATATCTCAAAACCTTGAAAGCTTTGTTAGGGTTGCTCTAAGTCAGTCCTGACACACAATATAGAAGTGCAGTGGTTTGCTTGCACAAAGGGAAAGAAATAGAAGCCCTCTTAGACTTACCAGTTGACAGCTGGAATCCCAGCCTGTCTTTTCAGCAGTTCTGCAGCTACATATAGAAAGATGTAGCTGCTTTCTGGTCCTCTCCCAGTCTCATTGATCATATTGCCAGATTCCAGTTGTGTTTGATGAAGCCTAACTGGAATCTCTGGGAGTGTGCACATTTCTAAAACAATATATGTTTTGTTCCATTATCAGTCATGCAAAGTGAAAATGTGCAGTTCTGTAGAAAATGTGAACCTCCAGATTCCCCCCCCATGACGGATTGCTGATTATTGATATCTTGAGCAAAGCACACAGAAGCAATAGATAAAGGTTGTGAGGCCATTTATCTTTCTTGTAAGAGAAAGCAGGGCAATCTGAGCTGAGGGCGTAGGAAAAGGCTGAGGGCAGAGGGTTCCACTTGCTACCTAAAATTCATAACAACCGAGTTGTTCAGGAATCTGTAATGCTTTTATACACAGATAGGAAGTCCAACTCAACAATCTAAAGAAGTGGGGGGCGGTTATGAATAAATTGGTGTATTGTCGATATTCTCTGACAATTTTCTGCTTCCCCAGCTTTCATTCACTATATATTTAATTTCATATATTTTGTAAAAAGTTTGCTGCCTTAATCATTTTTACAAATCTTGGACAAGATATATTTAGACTGCAACTCCAAGCATCTTAGGGTTTCTGTAAGTTGTAGTCCAAAAAAATACTTTTACTGGGTGCTTGGTCTTTACCACTCTTCTGTTGCTTCATACCAGCTTTTCTGGGGTGGAGTGGATTCATGCAACTGAAGCTCTTTGGCAATAGCTTTCATTGGGATGGAATTAATCATGGTTTCTACAGTGCATATATTATTTTAATAATAGTGGCCTATGTGGGGGTGGGTAGGTTTGATTGTATTTCCTTTACATTCTTACCACAGCATGCTTCTACTTAATTCTGATTATGATTAGCTTATTTGAGAAGAAGAAAGATGATCCTGGTGGGAGGAGGATAAAAAAGAATAGGGTGTGCCAGCTCTTGGCAAAAATGTAGCACAGTCTTTAAAAATGTTGTGACAATCCGTAGGTGCAGGCGTGTCTGAGGGTGTGTGGTGCCAGCTGTTGGTTGGGTCTGATTTCTTCACATGGAAGGCATCTAGCCTGGGCGAATTTGGTGAGCTGTACGAATTTGGTGAGCTGTACGAAGATTGATGGATTGAAAAGCACTCTGACGTTTTGTTTGTTTGCTTGTTTGTCAGGAAGGGCTGGCACTAAGGCCTCCGAAGGATTGCCTGGAATGGGAAGATGCCCCTTGAGGTAAAATGGCCCTTTCCCCAGGCTCCACATCTACCCTGGACCTTGGCCAGCAGGGTGGTCATGGGATTGGTGGGTACCTACAGCTGCTTCTGGACCAGTGAGTACAACTAACCTTCATGTTCTGCATGAAGGCTGCTATGTCTCAGGCAAAAGCTTAAAACCAGAGTCGATTCAGCCAGAACTTGGGAAGCTCTTTCAGTTTTCCTAACCTCAGGATTTACCCGGTTCTCAGAGTGCCAGCTGAATGCATCTGGTTTCACTCTTCCATCATCTTTCCTGCCCTGTGTTACCTTACAGTGTTCTTTCAAGGCTACAAGATGACAATGTATGTAGGGCAGCTGTCAGAGGTTAGTTCAGTGGTGGAGGATGTGTTTTGCATAAAAAGACCTCAGGTTTAGCTTCCAGGCTGGTCTGGAAAGATCCCTGCCTGAAACTGTGGTTAATCACTGCCAGTCAGTGTTGACAATAAGAAGCTGGATAGGCTAGTGCCCAGCTTGGTATAAGGTATCTTCTTAGATACATCCAGAGCTTGGAAAAGTTACTTTTTTGAACTGCAGCTCCAAGATTTGCCCAGCCAGCACGATCAATGGCTGGACTGCCTGAGGGATTTTGGAAATTATATTAAATAAAGTTACCTTTCCAAGCTCTGGCATAGGGCTATGTGAAATGCTGCAGACTCTCAAACACCTTATATGAATGTTAAATATGAATATTAATAGGTACAACAAGGGAAATGAATGTGCTGGTTACATCTTTGCTCTAAACTGAATTGGATCCTAGAAACCCCCCATGTCCTGCACACCTTTTTTCTGCTTTGATGCCTACAGAGTTCTCCTATTTGCTATTCTTTTTTCAGGGTGTGTGAACCAGCTGAACATCCATAACAAAGAAGTCCTATATGAGCTGATAGAGAAACGGGAGCCAGGCACCCCTCTGCTCACTGTCTGCAATCATCAGTCCTGTATGGATGATCCACACCTGTGGGGTATGACATTGGGAGGGCAGTGCTGCTCCCTGGTGGATGGCATAGGATAGTATTACTTTGCCTTGCTTTGGAGGGACTGGGCCAGGGTCCAGAACCCCAGTGGACAAGGGGAAGTACTTCAGCCCCCCACCCCCATCTAGGAACCTGCATCAAGAAGGCTTAATTTACTGTTGTTAAGGATTAGAAGTGCAAGTCCCATGCCTTGTTTATAGACAGTGTTTTATTTATTTGTTTCATTTGTACTCCACCTTTTTTGCAAGAGACTTAAAGTGGCATTCATGTTTCATTCACCAACCCAACCATTTTTAGCCTCACATCAGTGCTGCCGGGTAGATTAAGCTGAGAGACACTGACTGGCCTGAGGTCTCCCATTGAGCTTTGTTACCGAGTGGGGTTTTGAAACAGCAATTCCATGGTTCTTGTTGAACATTCTAATTGCTAGATCTCATTGGTTCTCCCTTTTTATGGATTTATTGTGATTTGGTTTAGATTTCCCTCATTATTAATATTGTTGTCTCCCACAGGAATCCTGAAATTAAGGCACGTCTGGAACTTGCAGAAGATGCGATGGTAAGTATGAGAAAGAGCGGCTATTCCCTAAGACAGAGGTCCCCAACCCCTGGTCCGTGGCCTGAGCCGGACTGGGCTGCGGAGAGAGACCTCCCCCCTCTGCACACACTCCCCCACAGCCCATTTGCATCTGTGCCCACACAAGCGCTGCACCACCCTTTGTGCATGCACATGAGTGTGCGCCTGCACGAGCGCTGCACTGCCCTTTGTGCATGCACATGAGCGTGCACACTCCTTCGCGCATGCACACAAGCGCAGGGGGGGTGCCCCACCTTCCCCAGCTGATCCGTGGGGCTAAAAAGGTTGGGGACCACTGCCCTAAGAGGAAGGAATGAGCCATTGTTTTTAAGTTCTCAGGTCTCTGCCAGTACAGTATTCAGTTTGGCCTGCAAGGCTGGGACTGCAAAGGAACAGCTAGTGTTTTGTATCATGAATGCCTTTTGAACTCCCTAGGACCCCAACAGCTGCTGATATCTGTTTCACCAAGGAGTTGCATTCTCGTTTCTTCAGTCTTGGGCAATGTGTTCCTGTCTGTCGTGGTAAGTAGAAGGTTTGCTGTATAGATGTTGGGGAACAGGAATTAGGTAGCTGTCCACACAGGGCTGGGGCTTGGATAGCAGGACTCAGTTCTGGGTCTGAGAAGTCATTTCTTCAAGATCTCTACTGTTTGTTTATGTTGGGAGAGTGGGAAAGCACTGGATATTCCCTTTCTCAGCCACAGTTTCCTACCCTGCCATCTATCACGTAAGGAGCAAATAGAGTTCTAAAGATCCTTCAAGGTTTCTCAATTTCTTTGCTGATAAAAAAGACTATATAAGTAGATCTCTTCCAGGCAAACTATAGCTGCTTTTAAATATAATTTTTTTTCAGGCGGGGGATGCAAAGACTGGTTTGAGCTGTTTGAGTAGACTTAAGTCAAGATGGGAAATCTTCGTATTTACAGATCAGGACCAGTCCAACACATTTGAGTAGGATCTGACTCCCACCATTCATACCACCCCAAACCAAACAAATTTTGTAGGGGCATAAGACAGGAAAACCTCTATGGGCCTCCTGTTTCTGGCAACAAAAACCCTAACAATTTGCCACACTTTTATGATATAGAATCTCCTACTTGAATCAGGCAAGTTATTCTGTATAATAGCAGGCAAAATTCCTTAATTCAGATGTATAATCCTACAGCTCACATCAGACCCACCCAGCATGGTCAGTGGTGAGCGACTGTAGGAACTGTAGGTCAGCTTGAAAGCCAGATGCTCCTCATTGTTTTGACACCTGGTTAGAGAGAGGACCTTGCACCACACGTGTGATGGAACAGTCCCTAATATGTATGTTCTTCTTTGTAGGAGATGGGGTCTATCAAAAAGGCATGGACTACATCCTTGACAAACTTAACAATGGAGATTGGGTGCATGTATTCCCAGAAGGTAGGTCGCAGTGCTTGGAAGTGATTCTGTAAGCATGTGTGTGTGCCAGAATGGTGTTCCCTAAGACGTTGTGGGCAGAACCTTACACCCAATCCCTCTAATTTTTCTCTCTTTCTCTTGTAGGGAAAGTAAACATGACCCAGGAGTTTGTGCGCTTCAAATGGGGTAGGTACCTTTTTTTTGACGAAGAAAGGTGCATAGTTGGGCAGCTGATCCTCTCTAATACCCCTTCCCTTTCATTTCCTCCAGGTGTTGGGCGTCTTCTGGCAGAGTGCCGCCTGCACCCTATTATAGTGCCACTCTGGCATCTAGGTGAGACCTGAATCAAAAGGGGGAGAACAGAGTCTGACAGTAGACAAGTGCCAATGACCATGATGGTCCATGTGATTTAGGGATATCAGACTCAATGTGTGGGACAGGGTGCCACTTCCTTTACTAGCTGTATAGAGAAATTAATTATGCCAGTGGTCACTTTTGCCAGCCACTGCTACACTGGCTTTGAAATCAAAGCTAACAATTGGAGTGTGTACATGGAAGGCTGGCAGAATTTGATGCATATTAGCTCTTCACTTGGTTGCCAGATCACTGGCTGAAATCTTGTTGCACAACTTTACACCATGCAGTGAGGATGACATCTTCAGTCATGACCACACCACAACTGTTTAGAGGCAATAAAATGCTTCCTAGAGACCCTTCTCCCATTTTGGAGCTCTCTGGAAATCACTTTTATCCTGGGACAGCCTTCAGGAATAGGAGGGGAAACAAACATAATGGTGATTTTCTGACTTTAAATCATTCCCTCTTTTGTTCCACCAGTCTCAAAAGACAAGGGGGATCCCTAGGGGTTCCTGAAACTGGGGGTGGTGGGGCTCTAGGAAGCTTTTTATTGCTCCAAATGGGTGCAGTCCAGCTGTGGCTGATGATGTCATCCTCTTTGTCTGGTGCTGCTCTGCCAACAGGATTTTCACCGTTTGGTTTCTCAGAAATAATTTGATGAGAGTACTGAAATGCAATGTTTGGGGGAAAGTTCTGAAATACAATGATGGTATCTTGTTCTCACTTTGCACAGAAGGGAATTCTGGTACTACGAAGTCCTCTCATCTGCTTTTAGAGGCAGATGTAGTTAAAACTTGGTGTTGAGAGAAGCTTCTCTGTCTTCCCTCCAAGTTCTGAAGGCTCCACCAGAGCTCCATTTTTGGAGCTCTTGACTTTTTAAGAAGCCTCTTGTCTTCTTTTTTCCTCCTTTACTTGATTTAGCCCAGAGTGAGCAAATTAGGCTTTTAGGTTTAATGGGCTCACCCTATTGACAATACTAGGTAGGAGCTGGAATGTTGCAGCCCATCTGCAGCTTTCTCTATTTGTCTAGCCTGTCATTGCGGTGAGGAAAGTTATAAGCTACCTGTTTCAGAAGGACAATGTCATCATTGAATAGAAAGTGTGCATCCCTCAAAACTGATGTGAGACATTAAAGATTACCTCTAATTTCATTTTTAGGAACATGTTGTGATACTATAAATGGCAGCCTTTCACATAAGCTGTTGAACCCACAGTGCTGTGTAAGCAGCTGGTATAATTAACACTAAATGCTGTGGATTTATTACCACAAGCCCTTCACTTGACCCCTGCCAAAATGATCCCTTCAGTCCAACCATTAAGATGCAGAGGAATCTTGTTCCAGTTTGCTATCATTGTTGGTGTTTTTATTAGAGGTTTTTATGTAGTTGGGGTCCAGACTGACATTCATGTTTTTCAATTGCCCTAGGGATGAACGATGTCCTCCCCAATGCACCCCCTTATATACCCCGTATTGGACAGGTAAGTGTTTTCAAACAGGGTAAGGAGTTACTAGTGTTGCAGAAAGAACTGGCCAGGGGCTTCCAAGCAGCAAAAAGGATTGAGGAGTTATGCAAGAGAAATAAGTGATCTCCAGCTTTGCTAATGCTGACTTCTTGTCCCGTTGCAGAAGATCACGGTGTTGATTGGGAAACCATTCACTGCCCGGCCTTTACTGGAACGCCTGCGGGCAGAGAACAAGTCAGCGGTGAGTTCAGAGGTGGAGGAGCACCAGGGGCTTCCTAAGTACAGCAAGAAAAGGGGCAGGCTAGATTAACTTCTAGGCAACAAGCTCTACAGCAGGCGCAAGCGAAGTGCAGTCCTCCAGGTATTGTTGGACTACAACTCCCAGCAGTCCTCAACAAAACAAGGGCTTCTGCTGTGATGGGTAAAGACCAGATTTCCCTCACTAAGTAAAGATTTTGTCTCCAGCTTGCTTCTTATGCCGGCCTCTCTCAGAAGTATTCAGAGGCGTGGGACTGTGGTCTATTACAAAATTGGGAACTTGGAGCCATGCTACCAAATGGTGGGAAAGGGGGCAGTGAGACTAAAAAGACTAATAAGAAAAGCTGAAGAATGTCCCAGCTGCAAAAGAGATAAATTCAACTGAGAATGAATCTGAATTCAGTTCAGAATTTGTCCTCCTGTCTGTTTTGTGAATTGGCTTGGGGGAAAAATCATTTTATAGGCCACATTTGGGGTACAAAACTATGTTTAAGTATTGGCCTTAGGCCTGTCCATTTGTGTGCAGCCCACATCTTCTAAAGTATGCTACAGCCCACATGAAAACTCAGGTGAAATAAAACTTGTTAAGTTTTAAGGTCCTACTACAACAGGCTAGCACAACTACCCCTCCCCCAGTGTACTCTGTGTATTTTGTATGACCCTGTTGCTCATGAGTCCTCCTCCTCCTTGCAGGTAGAGATGCGGAAAGCATTGACTGATTTTATTCAGGAGGAGATCCAGACGCTGAAGGATCAGGCTGAGAGGCTCCATCAGACTTTCAAGCTGCAGGGCGAGTGATGGGGCTCAGGTGAGCCTTGGAGGCCATCCCAGTGAGACACAAGAGAGTGTGCAGTCCTGGGACATGGCGAGGGGAAGAGGTTGCAGCATGGACTACCCGTAACCTCAGCTCTTGAGTGAAATGAACCCACTCCTCCACCTATGGCCCAAGCCATACCGCAAGTGAATTGGTGTCGCATGAAGAGGATTGGACAAAAGCACTTCCCTCTATGTTTGTTGATCCTCACATTCCAAGAGCTTGCCCTGTGGTTACGCTTGTCTCCAAGAGGGAAGGGAAGGACTTGGACCTGTTTCTGTCTGAGGAAGTCCCTATTGCCAGAGCCGAGTGGTGTTGGAGCTGCAATTTGGTGATGTGTGCCCAGAAGACAGGGGAGGAACTAGAGGGTCTGAAAAGGTCCACCCTTTGCTGTGATTCTCCTCTGCATTAGCCTCTCATCCTCCGCTTGCAAAAGGGTGTGTGGTGTTTCTGTGAGCATCTCTTTTGTAGAATACTGACCTGTGGGTGATTTTTATACTTGGCACTTTTCCAATAAATTATTCCAAACCCTGCTGCGCTCTGTGGCGACTGGAGTGTGTATGTGTGTCCAAAGCTGAGGCTGGTTTTTTGCACATATTTTAACTTTGTGCAGCAATGTGTACATCCACAGGGGCATGGCAAGCCTTCTCTTTTTCTGGCAAGACGCTTCAGTTTACAGTGGCAGAGAAAAGGCCTTCCTTGTGCCGTACAGTAGACATTTTGCCCAAATGAGGTAAGGCACCCCATTGAATTGTGTATCTCCTTGATGAAGAGGTGGGGAACACGTTGCCTTCCAGGTAGTGTTGGGACTCCTGTCACGTTCCCACCTAGCCCTTGATTGTTTCACCAAACACAGGGCACAAACTACGTGTCTTTCAGCTGCCACCAGTTGATTACAACATTATGTATTATTAATAATAGCAGTCCATGCAATATGTCCCTTTAAATAGAACCAAATTGTTGTTATTAATTCGGGTGATGAAGGTACAAATTCTTTAACTCTTAACAAAACATCCCACTTCATCCACCCTCAACCAACCTCTCTCTATCCACCCCAAACTTCCTAAAACTCCTATCTAATCTCCACCTCATCCTGCAGAGAATCTTGCATCTTGTGACTCCGCCTCTCCAGCACTCTCATTGGTCCATGCAGATAGCATATGAATATTCATGACCTAGGCCGACAACACAGACTCCATAGCAAATGGTGAAAAATCTTAAGAATGGTAGTCCAACACCACCTTTTGCAGCTCTCTGTGAGGAACTGAGCATCACATACACAGAGTATCCTTGGCTACCGCTGTTAGAGGGACAGTGATTCTTGACGACCTTTCGTCCCAGGATTTATGACATGAGGGGAGAACAAGTTGCAGTAAATCTCATACAGATCACTGAGACAAGGCAGACAAGGGTCTTGGTCTAAAGCACAGCAAATAAAGATACCACCTCAGAGGGACAACCTCTTGGTGCCTGAAAGCATGGCAGAGTGGAAGACAACTAGAATTCGCCTTGGCTGTCCTCTGCAAGCTTTAGTGAAACGAAGCTCCAGGATAACAAAGTCCCTTTTCTTGCCTTCTTGAAACCTATTTGTGGCGATGCAGGTTCCATTCTTTTTAAGGAGGGTTTCGTGTAGGAAGTCTTCTGAGGCATGGGGTGGGGACTTCACTTATTATATTTCTGAAATGTCTTACATGGGCTAGCCAAGATGATCTCATTTTACAATAGTGTATTAGGATTGTGTCTTGCCTTAGATCTGTTCCTTTTATTATCAAGAGTGGAGTGAGGGTAGAAGGCTGAAGTACAGGGGCATGGCCTTGTGCATTTTGAGCGTAAAATTAAAAATAGTAAGATGCAGAAACATTCCTTCTCCCCGCTTAAACATAGAATTGGTCTCAATCCATGTTTTTTCTTTCGCACCCCATGAACGTCCCATGTGGGGAGACCGAGGCACTAAAGCAGTGCCTTGCACAGAACAGATAATACGCAGGGCTCCTTCTGAGTCAGTTTTGTTCTTCGGAAGTGTCAGTAAAAATCCTCAGCTACAAACATGACAGACTTAACTATGAAGAATGATTTATGTGGACTATTGAATCCTACGGAGAAGAGAACCCAGTGCTGAGTAGCTATTTATTAAATAAAAAGTGTGGTTGGTTATATAAACCAGGGACACAGGTGAATTTGTCCTGGTGGGTCTCCCCATTTTGTACTGCAGGCAAGTATGTAAAAAATAATCAATAAACACCCCAGTAAAAGCTGCAACTGAGCGCATGCCATTTACAGTTACGTATTCCTGTTCAAATAATTCAAAATGAAACAAAGCAGAGATACATTGTTACCTGTGCATATATGATATGAAGCAACAATGTTCTTTAACATTGTTGTTAAAGAAGCAATAATGAATTCACTGGTTCAGCAGGTCACAGATTTCTGAAGGCATACGAGAATCTTTGCCCAGTTCCACCAGAGGACTGATAAAGTTCCACCAGAAGACTGATAAAGTAATCTCTCTTTAGTCATGGAATGATTCACCTCTCATGACCATCAGCATACAGCAGGAATAGGCAAAGCATGGGGCCTCCTGGAATACCCCCCCCAGCTTTTTCTGATTGTCAGAAAAAGGTAACCTTTGTGCTCCTGGAAGGCTTCAAGAGTGGTGCTTCATCTTTGATCACTCCACAGAGTTTGGTAATCTGAAGAGAGAGAGAGAACTGTTTGTCAGATATACAGTACTTTGATTTAGATTCCTGCATCAAGCAGGGGGTTGGACCCGGGAGTCCCTTCTAACTCCATTATTCTATAATTCTACCCATTTTTCAAAACTGGAAATTGACTTCTAGACCACTGGTTCTTAACCTTTGTTACTCAGATGTTTTTGGACTGCAACTCCCAGAAGCCTTCACCATCAGCTCTGCTCGCTGGGTCCCTTCTAACTCCATTACTGTATTCTATAATTCTACCCATTTTTCAAAACTGGAAATTGACTTCTAGACACTTCATTTTTATTTTCCCTTATTTTGGCAGTTTGTACTTCCCCTTGCCAAGGGTTGGGGGGCAGAAAATCATCCTCTGGACCTGCCTTCATTTTTATTTTCCCATATTTTGGCAGTTTGTGCTTCCCCTTGCCGAGGGTTGGGGGGGGCAGAAAATCATCCTCTGGACCTGCCAAAATTATTCATACCTGGTGTACAGTCCTAAAGAGGAGTCATTGTTTAGATTACCAAGGTGTATTTTACTTACTCTGTACCAGACTGGAGGGAATAGAGTTCTCCAGCTCTTTTTCTTCTGTTCAACTGTATGCTTTCCCAAAACTGCAGGCTTAATACTACTTCCCATCTTTGGAGTCCAATTACTGTTAATGTGTAACAGCAGCTCATTACTTCTATGGATCTTAACTCTTTTGGGTGAAGACCCTGAAGGCTCTGTATAGTTAAGCCTTAAGGGAGGGTTGCAACAGGACTGGTAGGACAGAAGGTGTGACTAAAGCCAGCAGCAAGCAGAGCCACTGAGTTCTCCCTTTGCCCCCTTCTTCCTCCTTTACCATGACAGGGCAGGACTATTTTAATATCTAAATGAACTGAAGAATAGTTTTGTGGTTGTTCAGTAGACTTCCACACTTAACCATAGTGGATTTTCTCCTAGGTGAGAAATGTAGCCTCTGCCATCCTCTCTTCCTGTGAAGCCACAATTATTAGATAGGAAACAGCAAGCCTAGGGAGAGGGTTTTGCCAAGCTTCACACTGCACAGCTTCATGACCAATGCCAAACACATGTACACAGAGAAGACAACTTCCAGAGTTGCCCTCTGTAACTTGGCAGGCTGGAACCACATGATAGAAGATAATGCTTTAGGAGTGTTTGTGTTCATTTATTTCCTTCTATTTAAAGTGACTCTTGTGAGATTTACAGGACTCAGACTGATGCTATTTTTAGGGTACAGTCAGAAAGCAGCATTCTAACTCCGTTGCCTCTATCCTAGTCATTATTTCCAGCCAGGCCTGGGAACTAGATTTTTGGCCTGCCGCAATTCTTTTTAGCATGCACGGACGTGCAGAGTGTAGCCCGCAGGGGTAGCCCAGGGGGCCAAACATGATTCCTCCAGTCCTGTTTGTTTTAAGTATTAAATTTTAGAAAAGCTTTAGAAGTCTTCACCACAATTCTTTTTAGCATGCACGGATGGGCAAAGTGTAGCCCACATGGGTAGCCCAGGGGGCCAAACATGATCCCCCCAGTATCCCTGTCCTGTTTGTTTTAAGCCTTAAATTTTAGAAAAGCTTTAGAAGTCTTCTTGTGCCCACTCTGGGGTATGGGAGGCAATTTTCTCATATGGCAAGGGGGCTCACATATCCTGTTCCAAAAATTAGTAAAATGTTAAAAAAAATATATCCATGAGAGAGAGAGAGACCCTGAGAATGCTTCAAAGCCTTTTAAAAAGAAATATATTTGGGGAAGGGAAGAGGTGAAATCAAATGAGGCTGATCCTCTGAGGTTGGGTACAGGCATGTGTAGCCAACAGACCTCTGGAAGTTGCCATCTCTATTCTCAATTATCTAAGTGGCCTATTTCTGAATTTCCATGCAGCATGGAACACTAGCCTTAACCATTTCCTTTCCTTCTCTTATACACACTGAGTTTGTAAAGTTTAGGCTTTTTAAAATTATAGTTCTCAAAACCCCTCAGCCAGTAAAACCAATCTGGGAACTGTAGTCCAGAAACGTACTCTTTACAGGCTTTAGAGACATGACATAAGGGATGACAAGACAGAGAGCATGGTTCCCTCTCACTCCATTCTGTGCACTTGTCTTTTTAGGAATTATAAACAGCTCCCCAAAATAATTGCAGATTTACTCGTGATTAAGGGCATGGGCTTTTTCAGCAAAAAAGCAATCCCTTTTATTTGCTCTTTCTCTTCCTGTTATCACATAAAATGATGAATTGCTTCTCAAAGTCTCTTTCCTCTCTACACTGATGAACCCCACAAATTAAATAAAATACTATAAGTGAAAGGTTTCCTTTGCCCTTTTTACTAGAACAGGGACAGAAAGATTTCTCCAAAGGTTAATGCAAAATTTAAAGTAAAGCAGCAGTGGCATAGCAATCCACAAACCCACCCCTAAGGCTGCACATTATTCAGCACAGTAACAAAAGATAAGTATATTTTCCATAAGAGTCCATCTACCAGGCCTGTGTGTTTGGACCTACTGTATTCCCTGCTTCTCCACCTTCCCCATTGGCTTGTTATGGACTGAGAAACTTCCCATGGCTTTAAGGGGCAGCGGGGAGGGGGGAGGATGCCATTTCTGTACCAGTGTAAGTTTTTGTAGGGTGTTGGCCTGACAATATAAAAGCGAGGCATGCAGCAATATGGAAGTGTGTGGCCAATGTCACACCGTGGGCTGATGGTAAGGAAGGAGCCAGGCAGACATAAGCTAAGGGGGGGTAGTGGAGCCAGGTGGTGCATAACTCTACTGGGACAACAGGCTTTGCAGTCCTGCAGCACCTGGAGGACCGTTACCTCAAGAGGAACAACATGCAGAGCACATCGCGGTATCCAAGTAAGGTATTTGCAGAACGTTGTATTTAATAATTCATATCCTGCATGTCTGCCAAAGTTTAAGCCAGTTTAGGGGGGGGGGGAGGACGCCCTCCTTTTTTATCTTCCCCGTAGTCCCGTGAAATAAGTCAGGCCGAAGAATTGTGACTGGCCCAAGAAGCTTCAGAGGTGTAGAGAAATTTAAACCTTGGTGTCCCGAGATATACTGCAACATGGAAATAACACTTGTGCTCTAACATTGCAATGCCCTCTGGCGAGAGGGGGGAAATGCCTCCCCTGCATGTGCTCAAGCAACCCGCGCTGAGCCAAGGCTGACCTCCAGCAAGTCTCCGCCGCCGCCCCATCTCCATTCCCTGGGGAGCAGAGGAGGAGGTTCGCCCATCCGCGAAAACACTGGGTTTCTCCACGTCCCAAACCTTCCCTTCGCGTCCCAGACCGGGCGAGAGACCCCCCCGCGCGCGTTCACCTGGGAGGAGTCTTACCGAACCTCCCCGGGACTCCTCCTCTGAGTCAACTCGCCCATCCGCTCCCTTGGACGCCGATTTTGCAGAACTAGGGGGAGGGCGAGTTCCTTGAGAAGGAAGGAAGGAAGGCGGGAACTACCTGAAGGCGGTTCTGATTGGCCCTGGCTGAGCCTGCCTTGTGCCCTAATTGGCCGTCTGCCCCAAGCTCTCCTGCAGCAGGATTTCCCCTCGGGTTCTGATTGGCTGGGGCGGGCCGGGAAAGCTGGAGCCGGAGGGCCGTCTCCGAAAGGAACAGGAAGGAAGATGGCGTTGCGAGAAGTGGCTGGTTTTCTTCTGCTGGGCCTGGTGGCCGCGCAGACGGGGCAGGTCCCTTTGCTGGCGTGGTCTAGCCACAGGTACACGCGCAGGTTTTCGGCTGCCCTCTGGGAATGGGATATGGAATAAGGTCGCAGAATATGAGGTTTAGAGATCCCCCAAGGTAGACCTTGTTTCTGTTAGAGATCATCGACCCCTAAAAGTTCTTCAGTCATTTTGGGTCAGTTAATTCACACGTTACGACTTAAGAAGGTTTCGATGCATAGGCCTAAAACGAAGGTGTTAATGCAGCCCTTACGTTTGGGTGAACAGGTATCTCATGGAGGTACACTCGTTAGAGGGACGTGGTTAACAAGTGGTGCATCCTTGGCTAATGGGTGGTATGTTGACCTGTTACATTGACTTATTGAATATTTAAAGGGTGGACTGTTGACTCAAGATCTTAATTTGAGTCTTGGGTAGTGAATTCAGAGCTGGGATCAGGCATTTGAGGAATGATTGGGTGTATTTGTGTGTTCCTGCTACAGAAGAGTGCTGGGGCTACAGAACAAGCTTTGGAGTCTGGGGAGATGAAAGGGTGTCTGGATAACATGGTGCATAGTGTGGAATAAAGGGTAGTGGCTAGAAATGTACATTGTGTGGAATACTAGGTTGATTGTAAGGTTTCTGGCATGGTAGAGGAAACTGGGGAGATCTCTGGTTTTGCCTTTATACTATCTATGGAAGTTATTTTTTAAAATATAACTCTTACCAGCCTGAACAAGGGTGAGTGGTTATTGGAAGGTTTAAATAAGGTGGGCGGGAAATTTTGGGCCTAGATTTCCCATCAGCTCCAACCAGCATGGCTAATTGTCAAGAACATATAGAGGGCAAAAATTTCCCCACCCTTGAAATTTAGCGGAAAAGCAGAGATTCTACTACTGTAAACAGCGCTTGAAAGGAACTAAGAAAGAAGGGATTTGCTGTCCAGAAGTGGGCAGGTAAAGAAGTGTTTTGTGTGTTAAGATATTTAGGAACCAAAACATTTGGGGGCAGAGGCCATGAGAAGAGTTTGGCATCTGGTTCTCATCTCTGCTCCTTCCCATATCCATTAACAGAAGTAGAGTCTTGGTTTTGAACAAGAGATCCTGTAATGTGCTGCTTGTTTTCTGCAGTCAAGTTGCTTCCAACTTATAGTTACTCTAATGAGGTTTTCAACCTATGCAAAATATTCAGGGTGTTATAGGTTTTTACGGCTGTTTGGCCATGATCTGAAGATTTTTCTTCCTAGGAGATTGGGTGATTATGGTGATCAAGGTGTTTTCTGCTAGCGACACCCATCAATCACGGTGACAGATCATCTCCCTCCTTGGCACAACTATACACCCATAAGGAAAAAAAAAACCCTGATCACCATGATCATCCAATCTCCTGTATACACCCATAAGAAAAAAAACCCCTGATCACCATGATCATCCAATCTCCTGACAAGGACAAAAAGTTGATCCTACAGCTATAAACACTCTTCCCACAAGCTGCACCAGAGCACAGAGTTCTGACTCATCCCACAAACTGCACCAGAGCACAGAGTTCTGACTCCTGACATCCTGTCAGCCATAGAGACTGGTAAAACGTTAGGAACAACAACCTTCAGAACATGGCCAAAGAGCCCGAAAAACCTACAACAACCTACAGTTACAACAACCGGCAATGAAAGCCTTCAAGAATATAGTCAGGGTGTGGTTTGCCCTTGCTATTCTTAAAGGTGTTTCTATAGCCAAGCTGGGGTTTGGAACCCAGGTCTCCTAAGTTCTGGTCTCCTAAGTTCTAGAACCATTGCAAATCCACTGTGCTGCATTGGCTCTCCTGTAATGTACTACTGCTGTGCCCTTTTGTAGGTTTCACCTACAAATATTTAAATGGTTTGAGGACATTACGTCCAAAGGACTATCTCCTTCTACAGGAACCTGCCTGTAAATTACTGTCATCACTGGATGCCTTGTTCCATCATCTTAGAAATGACCGGTTGGCAAATTCTTGAGAAAGTTGTTTTCAATACTAGCATTCTGATGCAGAAATTCCCTCTTGAAGGAGGCAAGATCATTTTTATTCTGCTTTATGTGGACAGCAAACAGTCTCCATTTCCATCCAGCTGATAAAAATGTAACATTTTAACTCTGCTTAATTTTAATGCTGCTCTTACACTTTATTGTATTGTCCCGTTCCCTTGTTCCTTGACTTTTTGTGCCCCCAACACTGTATCCTTTCCTCACGGGGAAGTTGCTCTAGCTCTTTGAACTCTGTAATTTGTTCTTAATTGACTTTTGTAGGAAGTAAACTTAGAGAGATTTCTGCAATGAATGGTGGATTGAAACACTTCTACGTATGTCACACACATGTGGAAATGAAGTTGGTCTTATGGGTGGCTGTCGAATAGAAATTTATTTCCTTTTGATCTTTTTCTTGATTTCCTTCTGTGAAACAGATCTTTGTGGTCCCCTTCAGCCATTCCACATGAGGGGCATGTGATTACAGAAGCTCAACTTGCAGCTTTGTTGGATTTGGCATTAGACAGTGGGCCCCGCAATGTGCTGCTCTTCCTTCAGGAGAAAGTGAGTATTTCTTTCCTTTGGCCAAGGACACTGCTGGCCACAGATTTGAACCTCAGTTCAATAAACAGCTTCCCCCTCTGCTACAAAACTAGGAATTCCTCATCTGTGAAAGTCCGTCTGGCCCTTCAGAGAACTAGCAGTGCTCAAGATTCCTTGGCTAAGAATTCATGGCTTAATTATATTTATTTATTTTGCTGTGGATGAATAAACATGTGGTGTGGAAATACTCCCAAAGGCAGCCTCCCTCCAGATGCGTTGCACTGGTGATGATAGGATTTTGAACCAAAAAGCTCTCACTTGGTGACGCCTGCTCTCAGGATGTTCTGGTAGATTTTTTTCGGCCTTTAAATATGTTACCATTGAGCTCTCTGTCCAGTGACTCCTTCCCATCCCATCTGGGATTCAGCAGGAGGTCCCAGTATTTTCAGAGCACTCATAGCAGTAAAGAAGAAACGGCTTCTTTGCCTTGGTCATGTGAGATGGAAACCTCATGACTCTGTTTCTCACTTCCTCATTCTGTCTCCATATAGCACTCTCTGATGCTCTCTTTATTAAGCTTTCCACTGATTGAAAGTCTATCTTGAGTGTATTTTTAAAAAAATTATATTAATTTCTGTTGATGTGATCAGAAAAGAAATATAGAGTGAAGGTTCATCTCTGATCTGGAGACTGCTGGAACCCAGGAAGTGCTTGCTGTCAAAAGCTCTCTTCACCACCTCAGATTCTCTGTTGTATTTCATTTATTCAATCTATATGTCTGAACTAAAATTGAGACAGCTTGCATATCCTCAAGATGGAAAGAAATGCTAAAATGTAGCACAGAAAGATGACTGTTTCAATTTTTTAAAAAACTCGTACTAAAATTGGCCTTCTCTCTCAGCTCAGTGTTGAAGATTTCACAGCCTATGGAGGGGTTTTTGGAAACAAGCCAGATAGCGCCTTCCCCAACCTGGAGGTGAGTGAGATCTGTGGGCTGAAATGAGTTGCTGATTTTTCCTGCCTGCCATCTGTATAATGAACGGTCTTGATACATTCCAGAGCATTTCTGCATAATCAAAAGAGGGTGCAAAAAAGCAGAATGTAAAATGTTATTATGAGTTTAAATGCATATCCAGCCAGTGAAAACTCTTTTCCATCATTAGTCGCATGCATTGGAGCATGATTTTGGCTTCTTCACTGTAGCTACTCTACTACTAGAGGACTGAAAACAAGGTAAAAATTTTAAGTTCAAGCTGTTGCACTACAGGAGAGGAAAGGTTCCCTTTTAGTTTCAAAAGGCCTGGTGAACCAATGTAGTGCAGTAACTAGTAAGTTGGACTACCTAGGATCTATAGAGGGGCTGTAGAGTTGCATTAAAAATACAAACATCTTTTGTTCTCATTTCTCTGAAGTAACAGAAATTGCTACTTTTGGTTTAGAAGAACAACATCTGGATGCCATTTAGAGGGAGGCCATGCTCCTCCAACTAAAAAGTAGTCACGCTGCAAAAGGAGTGGGGTTATTATTAAGTTACTATAGTAATAAAAAAACTCTGGGAGAAAACTAGTTATGTACACTCGTTATTTATAACTAGTTGTTTCTAGGCTCTGGTCAAATTACTTCCCTCAACACCTTGATGGGACAGTGGAATAAATTTTAGATTACATTTGGTTCAGGGCTACAGACTAGTATTTACAAAGTTGAGCTGATTTTACATGTTGGGTAAAGGGTGAGGTAGCATTGAGAAGATGCCAGCAGTTAGCTGTAAGGCCAGCAAAGTTTGCGCACACCTTACTTTTTTAGTGTTGTAATTTTCCACCTGTGGCATTCACTTCCCCTCTGTATTAAATTTAAAAATGATGAAATAATTTATTTACAACAACCAATAAATCTAGTTACTGGCTCTTCTAAATAATTCATGGCACATAGTCCCCCTAATTTAGGAAAGGGAACTGCGAAAGGAAGCATAAAACGTAATATCTTTGTTGAAAATACTTTAAAATGACATACTGTGGAAAGACCAGTAGTAAACATCCTGACACTGCCTAGATGTTTTATGCTACAATTGTCATGAAACTTAACTTGGAGGGTACCAGTTGTCAACCCCATAGATAAGACACTTAAATGCTGCAAAAGTGCAAAGCAAAAAAAATCTAACTCATAGCTTTATAGACTCTCTCTGTAGAGATAGAAATGATTAATCACCACATGCAATTATATCCTGGGATTCAGAGGCAGTAGATAAAGCTGAGCTCCTTACCTTTTTGATCTGTGGACTCTTGAAGGCTGTTCTCGTTGTTAATAGTGGTGAAATGCTGGCAGCTTGCCTTCCTGCTTTTATGCTGGTTATGCTACTGCCGGGAGAAACCACCATCTGGAAGCATCGAAATAGAATAGCACTCGCTTGATGAGAGGGAAAGCTCTACAGGGAGCATTTGCCGTTATATGTTTCCAAAATACCAATAACATTGTTCTGGAAAGCAACATTTTTTGATGAAATGTAAGAAATATGGATTTTTTTTAAAATAGCTGTAATCATGATCATAGAATGCAAGCACAGTTCTGTAATCTTTGTCTGGAGGTATGATGATGTCCATTAAAAAAATGACAATGCAGCATGCTAAAAACCTGAAATCTAAACTAAAGGTTATCAAGAGGCCCAAACCTCATCCCTCCCTGCCTTCTCAGCTGTTATACTCTTGACCCCTGCAATATCTGGAATATGGGTCTGAAGCAGGCCAGGAAAAGGGCTTAGACTAAGCCAGTCTTGTTCACAGTTGCCCATCAATGAAGTTAATCTGCCTGAACCAAGGATGCAGAATTAATGATTTTGTGCATGTTCAGCTACAGCACTGACCAGCCCTAGCGAGCGCAGTCAGTGGTGAGGAGGAAAGAGAGCTGAATCTAACAATGTTTGAAGGGCTACACATTGCCCATTCTTGCACTAAAAACATGAGCAGGTAGGAGGTTGGAGAAGGCCATGGCAGGATGAGCAAAACACTGAGAGCCCAATTGCTAACCTGTGACAATAGCTCTGACTCTTTGCCCTCTTCCCAACAGAATGCCCTACATGCAGCTCCCTCCTCATTAGTGCTGCCTTCCGTGGATTGGTTTGCAGCCAGTGCGGTCCCTGCCTTTTTGAAGGCCAAGCTGGGCATCTCGCCTCTTCACGTGGATCAGAACACCTTGCAGGAGCTGCGGCTCAATGCCAGCCTACCTGCTCTGCTGTTGATACGGCTGCCGTATACCACTGGGTATGTAACCAGCCTTTACTGTATTGCCCACCTTCAAGCTTTGTCACTGGGTGCAAACAGGGATGTTGTATAATTGTGTCTTCAAGGGGGATTTGAAACCCAAAATGTGCTGTTGAGCATAGCACACAGAATATGAATAATCTGCTTCTTTAAAAGCACTATTCATAATATTTCATGGTTGCTTGAATTTGAAACCTGAGGCTTCCTATGATCTCAGGTTTGGCATATTGTGAAGTGCCTACAGTTTTTTTCTAGTCTGTCCATATCTCTTGGTCTGGGCTTCTTGATCCTTCCAATGTTTAGGGATGTGTCCCTACCCTTTTGCTTTAAATCTGCCTGTTCCCAAGAATGTTAGGCTTCTTTTGCCCCTTCAAAAACCCCTTGATCACTTCTGCTTGGTCCTGGATGTCTAAGGGTGTAGATTGACTTCTGTTCTATGCAATGAGATGGCAGTGAGTTCTCAAATGCTAATAACCACGCCCTGCTTCTCCAGTCAAGAAGACATTGATACTAGGTCAAAGTCTAGGTTTACATCTAAGACACGCTAACAAAGCAGTTTCTGTCTGTTTTTCACTATATCTTTCTCCCTTCCCTTTCCAGCTCTAGCTTGATGGCCCCGAAAGAAGTTCTAACCAGCAATGGTGAGCAGCTGCATGGGACTTGTAACTCAGTGGTGAAAAGGCATTTGGAATAATGATTGTGTTGAGGACCTTTTATGGTAATGGGCATGCCAGGCTAAATTTCTGCTTCCTGACACGATTTGGAATACAGTGGTGCCTCGCTTAGCGATTGCTTCATTTAATGAAGAATTTGCTTAACGATTGTTTTTTTGGGAGCATTTTATGATTCGTTTAATGATGTTCCCTATGGGCAATTTTCGCTTAGCGATCTTCAGGACCATGCCTCGCATAGTGATGACAGTTTGGGTCCCCCTGTTTTGCTTAGCGATGTCCGTTTTCGCTATTTTTAATTTTTTGTGAATTTTCTGACAGTTTGGGTCCCCCTATTTCACTTAGCGATTGCCCTTTTTCGCTATTTTTAATTTTTCGTGAATTTTTTTCCCCATTGGAATGCATTGAACCATTGCAAACTTACAGTTCAGTGCATTCCAATGGGGGGGGGAATTCACCAAAAATTAACGAAGAGTCAGAACAAAGCCAAATTAAGTTAGCAAAGGTTTTACAAGGTGCACTAACGATTCCAAGCATTTTATACAGTTTTTGAACATTTTAAGACACTTTAAAAATAGCGAAAACGGACCTGTCAAAACCATTGAAATGCATTAAAACCTATTCAATGCATTCCAATGGGGGTACCACGTTTCGCTTAGCGATGTTTCCTACGGCGATTTTCGCTTAAGGACGGTAATTCGTTCCCATTGGAACGGATTATCCGGTTTTCAATGCATTCCTATGGGAAATGGTGTTTCGCTTAGCGATGTTTTCCCATAGCGATTTTTTTTTAACCAATTAACATCGCTAAGTGAGGCACCACTGTATTTGGAGGGCTCACTGGAGTGAATGTTCAGTCGGTGTTACGCTGACTTGGAAGTTGGCTTTGTATTTCACTTTCTGGATGGATTCTTATTTCCTGAATGCTATAATTTGCATGTCACTGGATTGATTAGTGTGTCCCAGTACGAGGGGGTGCTGACAAGTATTGAGCCTTTCCCAGAAAAAATTGAGCTAAGAAGCTGTAACTGCCACGCTATTCTACATTTCCCCCCCAGGAAGTCAATGCACTTGCGACATCTGTCCTGCAGCTTCTTAAGTCCCTGCAAATAAAATTCTTCCGACTGCTGGTGTAACCATTCATTTGAAGCATTAGTTGCCTCCAGAACATTCCCAAGTTGTTGTCCCTTTAGGTGTTTTTTGAGTTTGGGGAACAGATAATAGTCAGAAGGAGCCAGGTCGGGAGAATAGGGAGGATGTGGCATCACTTGAAAGCCTCAGCAGGTCAGTTCTGTCATTGTTTCACCTGCAGTGTGTGAGAAGGTGTCATCATGCAACAGGATGACACCTTTGGAGAGCTTTCCTCAATGTTTTTCCTTGATGTTTTGCCTCAACTTCATCAAGAAAGCACAGTAATATTTTACATTGATGATTGAACACTGTTGGAGGTAGTCCACCAGCAGAACTCCCTTCTTATCCCAAAAAACTGTTGCCATTTGCTTCTGCACCGACCTTTGCACTCGGAACTTCTTTGGCCTGGGGGAACCACTGTGCCTCCATTCCTTAGACTGTTCCTTTGTCTCAGATCATAACAGTAGATCCATGTCTCATCACCAGTTACCAGTTTGCCCAAGAAATCTGACTCATTTCTTGCAAAATGTCCCAAAACAGCCACCAATTACTCCACACATTTCCTCTTTTCTTCGGTCATGGATCATTTCGGGATCTACTTTGCTGCCAGTTTTCTCATTTCCAAGTCATGGATAATGGCACTAACACTCTCACATGATATTCTCAGAAATATAGCAATACTTTTGGCTGATATTCGGCGGTCCTCCATGATCATGGCTTTCACATTTGCAGGCACAGAGACAGAAACAGTTCTTTCACTGGGTTTCTCACTTTCAGCACCGAAATGGCCAATTTTAAAATTGACAACCCAACATTTAACTGTTGCATATGAAGGGCCACTGTCACCCATAGTTTGTGACATTTCATCATGGATCTGCTTTGCACCTTTCCCTTGGAGAAACAGAAACTTGATTATGGTCCTATGCTCTTCCACACTGAACTTTTCTGGAGGTGCTGCCATGTTCAGTTTGGACCTGAACATGAAAGTTAAAATCATAGGTAGTTGATTTTTGCACCATTGAATACAGACAAATTGGCCAATGCATCCTGCAATTTATAGCTTCTTAGCTCAATTTTTTATGAGTAAGGCTCAATACTTGTCTGCACCCCCTCAGAAAGAGAAGTAGTTAAGGGTTCTCTGAGAAAGAACATCAGTCCTGTGTGAAAATGAGAAAGTGTACTGTGAGGCTGGGACTGGCTTGAGGAGAGGGGAAAATGGGACTGGGACTCAACCTGATCCCACTTGAGACAAAAGTTTGTTCATGGGCATGTCCTGTGGGTACAGCTTTAAGGGGTGGAGCTCTTCTGTCTATTTTTCCCCTCTCTTGAACATGAGTTCTCTACACAGATGAAATCCTGGGACAAGTCTTGAGTGCCCTTCAGTCAGAGGACATTCCCTATACAGCCATCCTGACTGCTTTACGGCCTTCGCGGGTATGTGGATGCTCTGATCCCTGTGCAGCTGTGGTTCAATTCCCGCTCTGTCTTTTTCTGAGTCCAGGAAATACATATAGCTCTCATGTCATTGATGTAATTTGTTCCATGTGTGTCCGTTCATTTGTTCAACTCAAGTTTTAAAAAGGTAGTACGTATTATAAAAAAGTGATATGAATGTATTATAAATATTAAAACCAATTAGAATATAATAGGCTAAAGTTAATTACAAAGATTAAGAAGCTCAAGTAAGAAGCCAACAGATATCAAATATCTTGCTGAAATGATTTTATTAGTGTCTGTTTATTTATTATTTACATACCAGCAGCAAAGAATCTTGTTATCCATCTCTAGTGTGAGTGTTAAGGTTAGACCTTATTCTTTATTGCGTCTGTTGCACTTGTGAGCAAGGCTGTTAGGTGGTTTCTTCTCTGTCCCCATTTTTTTTCTTCCTCCTCAGTCTTTTTCCTTCTCTTTTTTAAAAGTACTTTTTTGGGGGATTTTGGTCACAAATGTTTTAGCTCTGTTGCAATTTTGTTTGCACTAAGGTCTGTAAGAATTTTGGCTACAGGGCAGCCTGTGCAGTGTGTAAAATAATTTCTTCTCCAGGTTGTCCGGGATGTGTCTGATTTGGCCCCTGCGAGACTAGGCAGGCAGCTGCTCCAAAAGGAGACTGTGGTGGCGCCGCTCCGTTTCCCTAAAACCGGAAACCCGCTGATACTCTTCTGGGCCAGCAATTTTTCGGTGGCAATCAATGACACGTGGCATGACCTTACAAACCTCACATTTGGGGCCAGTGCCTCCGTCACTGTAGAGAACTCCAGCTGGAATACCAATGCTTCTGAGTGAGTACAGGGTGAGGAGGATGCGAGATCAGGAGGATGGATGGACCGTAGACAGTAGGGATGGAAGAAAAGAAGTTTGAGGTGGTCTTATGAGCTGGGTCAGCTGAGTCCTTGACAGTCAGAGGTGCTGTAGGTAAAACTGCGTATGTGCTGGGTAGAAACATTCAGTCAAATTCTGATCTGAATGAATTATGTATGTACAAATTGGCATATATTTACTTCTGTTTGATGTCATTCTGATCATGCTTCTCAGCATGCGGAGGATACGAGTCCTGTCTTATCTTTTCCCAGTCTAGTACTATTCACATTACTGGATCAGCCTCCTTCATTTCAGACACTTTGGCGAAAAGCCGCTAAGAACATAATTTCTGTGTCTCATCCAGCAGTAGCTGCATTTCCCCCTGCAACCTTACCTTCCCAGACTCTCCTGAACTACAATCGTGGTTTAAATACCACGGGGGACTGTTCATAGCTCAGTACGTATGTGCCAGTGTCTACATATGCATGGTCAACTGGCATGTTTAGACTTCCCACAGTTTTATTTATTTATTTAATAGGTTTATACCCCATCATTCTGCTAAAAGATAGCATTCAAGGTGGCTTGCAAGCTTTAAAAGAAATTAAACCAACATTTAGCTGAAATGTTAATAAAATAATATAGACCTACTACAAAAAAAATCGAGCAAGTACATTTTAAAAATTAATATTTAAAAGGATACAGATTAAAAGCAACGCAGCAGGGCAGGTTAAACATCAAATGCCTAACAAAAGATCTGGTTTTACTCCCTATTTAAAGTCAGGCAGAGACCACAACTCAGAAGGGAGGTTATTCCATAGTCTGAGAGCCACACAGGAGGCCCTCTTATGTGTGCTTTTTAGGTGGGCTTCTGAAACCACTGTATTTTTAAGAGGACCTCTCCTGAATATCTTGAAGACAGTGCAGGCTCATAATGAAAGAGACAATCCCTCACATAGCTAGGCCCCATGCAGTTTTGGCTATGAACTGATGTCAGGTGAAGCTTTAGAAAAGTGGGGGAAGTGGAGAAGAAAATATTGCCCTCCTAGAGCTAATTAAGCATGATGAGCATCACTGTTTCAGAACACTAATTTTTTTTATTTCCATATTGTAGGTTGGTACTTCAATATTCCAATGTAGGTGGGCAGCCCTTGACAGTCAGGTAAGTACGATGGATGCAGGTTCTGATCTTATGTTAACAGATGTCATCACCTAGCAATCTCTGTGGATCTGGGGAGGCAAATTGCTAAATTGGTTTAAGAGGGAGATAAATAGCTAATAGATTAGACATGTTTTTAAAAAAAGTAATGTTTTCCCAATATTTTATTAAAGGTAGCTGTCCACCAAATTATTTAAAGCATACTAGTTCATGAAGTTTTATTTCCATCATTATTTTTGCATTACAAGGCCGAGGAGTTACTTTTTATATATTCTAGAAAGGAAGAAGTTGAGTTCTGCTTCCCTATGTACTTTAGCACTGAACAGCCCTCAGCACTCCATGCCCCAGGCTCAAATGAATTGATAGGCAGGCTCTGTTTCCCTTCATGGAGTCAGTGTAGCATTTGGTGATGATGAGCTTAAGCGGGGTCTGCCAGTCCTTCAAAAAAAGAGACATGACTTATTTCTGTGGCTATTATCAGAGTTTGAAAAGGTTGCTATCCCAGAATCCCCCAGCTAGCATAGGCAGCTCTCCCACCACAAGTAGTGGCTATACTGCCTGGAAAAATTTAGGGAGTTGTAGTTAAAATAAATAAAAGCAACACTTCCAAATTTGGGGTTTTGATGTGTTTCATGATATGGGGTAACCCCTGTTGTTCTGAAGAAATGCTGGAACTGCATCTTGAAATCACTGAGCAGTGAGGATGAGATTAATGTGTCTAGGATCCTAACAGGATTTTTAAAAAATCTTTCTGGTTATCTTGTATCCACTGCTGCACTTCACCATCTTTACACCCCTTCTGCTCCAGGTTCCGCATGACAAACCTTCGCTACCCAGTTTCAGCACGGCACTGGTTTACCCTCCGGACTGTGGAGTTCATCAGGTCTCGAAACCCACCAGCAATCTTCAATGCTACCCAGGTCACGGCCCCCAGTAACTATTCTTTCAGTTGTGCCCATGTCAGCAGTCACCCAGCTTCAGGGGCCATCTTGCTACCCAACAGCAATGCCAACCACTGGAAGGTGCAGATGTTGAATTTTCAGGTATGTTGTGGTGTTATGGGAAGTTTAGACTAGTGGGTTGTCTCTTGGCAGAAGGTTTAATATTCTAAGACAGGGCTGAGCAAAGTGCTGCATGCAACCTACATTGCTATTTCCCTCACAAAGAATAAATCTTCCCCCAAAAAAGAGAAGAAAAAGCAAAAAAGCAGAAGTAATTATTGCTCATGAAAGCCCCTACAAGAGATGGTGTTGCAATTACATGGCATGCAGGATTTTCCTCAATCTCACAAGAATTGTTCAACTCACAGAAAATAAAACTGGATGTGACTTTCCAACAACTGGCTGCAAATTGGCCCTCAAACCATCCAGAGTTGCCTCCATTTGCCAAGGAAGAGAATCCAGCCATGCTTTCCAAACAGTGTGTTCCTCTGTACTCTGTCCTTGGACCAGATCCTTATCTTACATGTTCTTTCAGCCATGGAATGTGGCGCTGGGCCAAAATCATCTGTGGTACAGGCTCTGTAACTGGCACCTGAACAAGTTCTAGTTGTCATTCTGTGCTGTGACAACACATTGTGTAGAACATTTATTTTTGTTGTCTACAGTCCCAGAATCCTATGTAATGGTTGGAGGACGCTTCCATCCAAAAATCCAAATTTTGCATGTTCTGGATAGTGAAATATGTTTGCGATTCAGATTGGGGGAGGAAGAGGAGGCAGAAATCAGCTTCTGTCACTAATGCTTTGCTGTCCAATCCCTTCAGATCCAGAGCTTCAACGTGACGGGTGAAAGATTCTCCTATGCCAGTGACTGTGCGGGCTTCTTCTCTCCTGGAATCTGGATGGGTTTGCTGACCTCCCTGCTTCTCGTGGCCATTTTCACCTACGGCCTCCACATGGTCATGTGCCTCAAGACTATGGATCGCTTTGATGATCCCAAGGGGCCTACCATCTCTGTGCCCCAGACAGAGTAACTCGTTGTCCTGGAAGCCTTACAGTGCTGGGCTTGTTCTGTCCATTCCATCTGTAGTGACATCTTCACCACTCCCAACCCCAGTACAAAGCATTAAATCCAGTTTGGTCCCAGTCTTTTCCCTTTCTGTTTTCCAATTCCACCTCCCTACTAATACTCCTTGATCTTCTTTCCCTTTTGATCATTTCTAGCTGTTCTAGCCTAAACTTCCTTTACAGTGGGATAGGTTGTAAATACAATTGAGGTGTAATTTTCCTACTGGCCAGAGATGCAGATCCTGTGCATGTTGCAATGTTGAGGGCAGATCTCTTCAGGGATGTTGCCATCCTTCAGTTTCCACTGAAAATTGTTCCCTTTAATGTGCTGTACATTCTCTACCAGTTTGCTCTGTGTCCGTTCTTCTCTTACCCTCTCACCTGAAACTGTTTTTGCAGGCTTTCTGCTGTATCCTAGGTGGTCCTTCTCTCCCCACATCATTATTATTTATTTATGTGATACCTGTGAATAGTTCTGTTTACAGTGACTCAGTATTTTGGACTTTGCTGCTTCTGATGAGGGGTGGGCAAGGTTCCTTTCCTATAACTACTGTTCCATCAACTTGAAAAAGAATGAATAAAATTGAATTACTGAGATCTGTGATGTAGTTGTGAGAGTGGGAGAGGAAGTCTTGGGAACTTGTTCTTTTGTAGGACAGATGTGTGACCTCTTTTTGTTGAATCTCCAAGCAGTAGTTACCACTCAGTTGCAGAAATGCTCTTGTTTAGGCATGCTGGAGTAACAAAAATCCCATAAATTCTGATGGTGTATTGCCCCAAGTAGAGAAATCATAATAGGCAATGTTTGTTGCATGCCGGGTTTTGTGGTTTAGCTTGCAGCGTATGTCTATGATGATTTTTTAACTTAAGGCAGTTCCCCTCTGAAAGTTATGCTGTTTGTGTAGTTATGCCAAAGGGTTTTGGCCACTGTATAATATTCCTCTTTAATTCCTCTTCCCAAGTGTCTTGCAAGTTTTGGTCATAATCTTTATTAGCATTACTGGGTGAATAGTCTGGCATACTGGTATTTTGGGAAATGTATTAAAGTACTATTGTAATAGTAATAACTGTAACAAGATCCAGAGTAAAGTTTTATTGCCTTCTCTTAAGATACATTAGATCAGGGTTCCTGAACCTTTCTGAGCTGATGGTTACATTTCCAGTTTTGATTGTTATAAGCATACAAAACAACTGCTGTGACGGACACAACCATCCACAAAACATGCATTTCCTAGAAAGCAAGCCTCACAGGCTAAAAGGGGTACAACCTGATCAAAAACATGAATGCAAGACAGATATGCCTTGTTTTCTCCAGTTTTTTGATCCAGCACCCATCTCATGAAAGGATAAATTGATGGAGAAGGAGGAGGCTGAGTACCTCCTCCAAAATGCTAAATTTGGCTTCATAAAGTCCAACAGCATACCTAGTGTAAAGTAAAGTGGTGATATTGAGAGACTCAAGCGCAGAATGTGTATCTGCACCATACGTACACCAGTACAAACAGCCAGGGCAGAAGCCACAACAAAACAAATAATAGGACACTGATGGGCATATAGGAAGTAAATCACTCTAGACATTATGATTAGTTTTAATATAGCCAATTATATGCAATGTGACCATTAGGACTGGATGTGACAGACTCATGAGAGATGTGGGAAGACATGCTAAATAATGAAAAGTAAGACCACATATATATACTGTATGTAGAGGATACTATGGCTGAAATTATGTTGCTTTGTTTTGCATGTGTACAGCAAACGATGTTGATTACCATCTGGAAGTGACTGAATGTTACAAGTCCTTGCTGGGATTCTCTAGCTAGCATGCAGGCCACACATACTGTACTCCCCTCCCACTCCCAGTGGCAACTTAATTGCAAGCTAGAAGCAACTGAATGTTACATTATCTTCTGTCCACATGCACATCAACAGGATTTCAGCCCCTATGTAATAGCTAGTGATTACCTGTTTACTGTATACTGTATTTTGAAATGTAAGCACTCCATGACAGTCCACATCATTTCCAGAGAAGGTCCAAAAATGCAGCAAACCTGTTCTAGCAGTTTTCATCACCATCAAGAGGATATTATTTTTATTCTGGGTTTGTTTAAATCACTCAAAAGGCAGCATGTGAATCGTTTCAAAAGAGCCTAGTTGGATGTGTGCTTTGTAGTGTCTCTTTGAAGGCTACAGGTGTAAGAATATATTGGTTGCTACGAAAACAGATATCTGCCTCCCAGCTATGAAGACTAAAACTGCACTCAGGTGGGTGGAAGGTGATGCCATTGGTCCCTGCTAATCAGAAAGTCCCTGAGCTTTTCTTTGACTTCTCCACACTAGTGACCACAACACTGTGATGATCCAGAAGAGAGGTGGCCAGATAGCAGGGCTTGGTGTAATTTTTAATGCTCTTTGCAGGCAGCCACTGCAGACCTCCGACAAAAATGTCCCAGATTTACCTGCCTGCCCACTTCAGAGGAGCATTCACTTTCCAACAAAAGCATCCATCCCATGAAAACTCCTTCCTCTTATTTCAGGAGGGCAAGCCTTTGTTCTAGAACAGGCCCTGGAAAGGGGGAGATGAGGTCTGCTCTCAGGGAGAGAAGAACCAAATAAAGGCTCCCAGGGTGGTGACCAGATGCAAAGCGGGCTCTTGCCCTTTCCTGCTTCCTATGCATGGCGAAGGAACGATGACTGCAGCTTTTAATCTTTTCTCTGTTTTAAAGCCCTGAGGCGATCAGAAGCCCTTTTGTCCTAAATTTGTTCTCTAGCATTCCCAAGGAGAGCGAACAGGAGCCTCCTGCGTCCCTTTGCAGGCGCTTGTGGGCCTTTCGAGCTGAGCGGGAGAAAGTCGCCATTACTCTTTCTCCTTTTCTCACCGACCGTCGGTCGATCGATACAGAGAGGCACGTAAGAGGGTGCAGCCCAAGCAGGGGCTGTTCTTCCCTCCCTCAGGGCAGCCGTGAAGGGGCAGGAAGAGGCGCCACCTGGAACATGGCTCTCGCTCTCCTGAGCTAAGCGGGTGCTATCCTCACCCTCGCAGAAAAGGCAGGCTAATATTTCACACTGGCGCCCACGGATGCACGTTGAGGTGGGAGCGAGCCCCTATGCCACTCAGGAGAGCTTACTTCTGAGTAAACCAGACCGAAGAGGAGGACCGCCCAGCGATGCGAAAATAGGGCCGAAGGACGGCTTATCCCTCCCCACCTCCCCACCCCCTCAGGCGGTCTTTTCCCCTGAGGCCCTGCATCCCCTCAAGACGAGGCGGCAGCGGCAGCCCAGGAAAATGTCACGAAGCGGGCAGAGCTCTTCGCCTCATCGACCACAAACACGGGGCATATGCTGGCTGCAGTTGGGAGTATTTTAAGGCGGGGTGTGATTTATTTTGCGGAGGGGGAAGAAAGGAAGGTCCCCTTTTCTCTGGGTGGCCACATGTAATCAAACGGGAAACAAAAAAAAAATGAGCAAACGTTACTTTTACGCCTCCGTCAATAAAACACACGGATTTTTAAAATTTTATTTTAAAATTTTATTTTCCTTTCTTTCTGTCGTTTTCAAAGAAGAATCCGGCGGTGCTATAACCGTTGCCATGGTGAGAGGAAGGGTGGTGGTCCCAGCATTGAAATACTGTACTCTCTGCTGCTCCCTCCTCCCCAGGTAATGACAAGAGAAAGCACAGAGCCGGAACTTGTTTCTAGATTCTCCCCCCCCTCCCTTTCTCCGCGCGTAGGCATCATTGTTAATGAGACTAAAGTAGTCCCATCTCTATATGTATTCTCCGTACTGTACTCCCTCGCGCTCCCTTCCTTCTCCGTGGCGGCGTCTTTAGCCAGAGGGGGTATAAAAACGATCGGCTCGTCGGGGCGGTTCCCCGCAGCGGAGAGATTCCTGTGCCGGGACTCGTTTCCGGCGGAGGAATCCCGCTTGAGCAGCTCCTCTGCCTCTGCCGCCGGTGCTGCGGCCCCATCTTGGCTCCGCTTAGGGGCGGGGGGTGGGTGGCGGAGGCGGCTCCGCAGCCGGCACCATGGACGAGGCCTACGACGTGATCGTGCTGGGCACCGGCCTAACCGTGAGTCCTTCGGGAGCCTTTTGCCCTGCTCTCAGGCACCCACCCCCAGCCCACCATCGCGCTCTTCATCTCCCCTCTGTCGCTGCCGCCGCCGCCGCCGCCCTCGCCCTCCAGCCCTGCATCCCATTCTCCCTCCGGCATCCCTTTGCCCGTCATCAGCATCCTTGTCATCAGACCCGGGCGGGGTTGTTGCATCGCCCCTGCGGGCAGTAACTCTGCAGCCTTCGAGAAAGCAATCCATCGTCTTTTAGGATTGCAGCAATGCTGCTCCTAAAGGAATAGCTTGGCACTGCCCTGAAGAGATGCCCCCACAGGGTTGGGTTATTGCATATTGCCAATTTCCTCTTTCGCGCCTCTTGCTACCACTCCATCTGCATTTTCCCCCCACTGTTTTCTGCATCTGGTTCCATATTGCCTCTGTCTTCCCTGACGAATTGCCATTGCTGTTGCACGCGATGCATTTGCCTTCTTCCTAGCTTCTGTCCCTCCTCTCCCCACCCTCTGCAGCCAAATGGGGATTGCCCCCCCCCGTGCAGCGTCTCTGATGCAACCCAACGCCACCAGCTGTTCCTGAAAGTGGGAAAGGATAGGCACCCATTGCATATTGCACCTTTTGCTTTTTAGGTCCCCAATTTCTCCTGTCAGTTTGCCTTGCCAGCATCTGAGCAGTACCAAACGGGAATGGTTGTGTCGACTTATCATAAAGACCATTGTGTAGTGGGTTGTATTTATTTTCGCATTGTGGGATGCTTCCTGCACTGATTTCTGCAAGTCCTTATGCTCTGTTTTTCAGGTCAGGTGCTGACTCTGTCCGGTTACAACTCAGTGGGAGGGGAAAGAGGCAATGACATCTCTGTGATTTCAATCATGTGCTTGTTCTCTGTTTCCACAACACCCCTTCAGCCACCCCAATGCAGCCATGTAACTATCTGCTCTTGAAATCAGTAGTCCTATTTGGCATTCAAGGTTGAAGTGGTTGCAGTACAAGGTGTTCCGCTCCTTGTCCCAAGCACCTTTGGAGCCAGTGTAGATGCCCATGTTTATCCCACTGAATGCTCACACAGTGCAGGATCCATCCTTTGTGCCATTCTTTGGAACTTCCAATTTACACGGCCCTCTCTTCTCTCTAAATTTTGTTCATTGTATGCCATGCTTTTGCCATTTTCTTAGGAGAAAGCCTCTTCTGTGTCTCAGATGCAGATCCAAGCAATCTAGAAAGGAGACATTGTTTCCCCACTTGTACTGTACAATAGTCCCCATTTTGTCAGGATACTTTGTTTATCCTTGCAAGCCACCTCTGAGCACCCTGTGTCTTCTTTTCATCATCATCCACGTTCTTTGGGAGAGCGGGATTAACCTGGGTTTCTCCCAAGCACATTTTTTTTGCTGCTAAGTGGTATGATTCACTGTTGATATGACTGAACAAGAGGGTATTAACCAACTCTTTAGTGTTTTTGTTCAATTCTGTTTTCACATTGCTGCAGGAGGGGGTTCCATGCTTAGGAGAGCAATGTAGACTAGCTCTTGCTGACTCTCAACAGCAGGCTTGGGCTCTCCCTACTTCCTCATATACAGCTATGAGGTCTTTCCTCCTCTTGTGTTTTGCAGATAAAACCATCCCTCATGTTCCTTTCTTCTGGAATGTCAAAAAGGATACAGCCCTCCTTTTGGGAACCTTGAAAGCTAGCTCCTTCCTTTGCTTCTCATTTCCTAGCCCTAGGGAAGGTAGCACCATCTGTTCAGCTTCCTTGAAATGGTAATCAAATGAGGGGGTTCTGATCCATTGCATTGACATGTATCCCCTTTTTCATCTCCTGCCTCAAGCCATTTAGCATACTGGGGAGGGGCAGAAAATGATTTGCTCTGATCTTAGGAGTGCAACAAATGGTTGGATACCTGATCAGATTCACTGGTTTACTCTTATTGCGTCAACACTGACTTTTCCACATTTCACATAGGAGCCCTTCATAGCCCTCTCAGAAATTATGGGAGATGAACCTGGAACTTTCTGCAGATAAACTGTATACCCAGCCAATGGGTTATGGCTCTTCAGTTTGGAACCCATCTGTCTGTGTGTTGTGAAACAGAACTACAGAGAAGGACTAGGGCGGCAGGTGTTAGGGAATCAGTGGGCTTTCTTGTGCCTTTTTTTCCTGAGTTTTGCCTCAGTGCCTAGGTTGCTCTTTGATTATTCCAAACTGATACCATCCAGTGCAGTGGCTCCCAACCTTAGCTCTCCAAATGTTCTTAGACTAAAACCCCCAGAAGCCTATCTCCAAATGGTCTTAGATTGAAACCCCCAGAAGCCTTACCACCATTAGCTGTGCTGGTCAGGATTTCTGGAAATTACAGTCCAGTAACTTCTGGGGACCCAAGGTTGGGAAGCACTGCTCTAGAGCAGCCTTTCTCAACTGGAGCCATGGCACATTTGAAGGGGGCCACAGACTAGAAGGAATTATTCACACACCACTTTATAAGGTTCATTGTGCAAGTTATACATGTTGTGTTTATGACCATAGCCAAAAACAGGTTGAGAACGGCTACTCATGAGAATCAGTTCATTATTCTGTGGCAAACAGGCTGCTTTGGTTTTTGGGGGGCAGGTGACTTTGTCTCATTCTGCGTGAGTCATGCACACCTTAAAAAAGGATCTTTTTTTAATTTTCTTTTTATTATATAAAATCTGTCCCTGTTGATTTAACATCATGCCACCTGGGTACAGCTTATAATCATTTGTTAAAACAACTACCATACACATTATGTTCCTAATCTATACAACATTCTTCTAACCATTGATAGAACAAGTGCCATGTTTGATAATATATTGTATCTTCTTTTCCTTTGATTTTCAGTGTTAGTTTATCCATTTCGGCACAGTCAAATATCTTTTTAATTATTTCTTGATCTGTAGGTGTTCCTTCCTCTTATAAAAAGGATCTTTAATCAGTAGCAATCTTCAAAAAAAAAAAGGATCTTTAATCAGTAGCAATCTTCTGCTGTCATTCCTATTACAATGGTGAAACTGTGCAACAGGATTTTGGCCACTGGCACTTAAAAGCAGAGCTACATTACGAATTTCTTATGAGTTAGCAGTGACCGTTTACATATTGTTGTTTCTTCCATAGAATTTTTGGGTCTGTAGCTTGGTCACAATATTGAGTATTTTTTTACTAGAGGTCTACTAGAACTACTAGGAAGAGGATATCTTTCAAACCAGTTTGTTGGGTAGAAGTCACAAAGTGCCTTTTCCGTTTCCCAATTTAAAATTTGTTTCGTTAAGTCGTTTAGTCGTGTCTGACTCTTTGTGACCCCATGGACCAGAGCACGCCAGGCCCTCCTGTCTTCCACTGCCTCCCGGAGTTGTGTCAAATTCGAAGACACTGCCCAGCCATCTCATCCTCGGTCGTCCCCTTCTCCTCTTGCCATCACACTTTCCTAACATCAAGTTTTTTTCCAAGGAGTCTTTTTTTCTCATGAGATGGCCAAAGTACTGGAGCCTCAGCTTCAGGATCTGTCCTTCCAGTGAGCACTCAGGGTTGATTTCCTTTAGAACAATTTAAAATAACAGATAGTTATTGTTCATTTATGGCGCAAGATCCAACTATTCATACAGAACTTTTGGCCTTTTCCGTTTCCCAATTTAAAATAACAGATCGTTATTGTTCATTTATGGAGCAAGATCCAACTATTCATACAGAACTTTTGTGTTTCTGCCTCAGGAACCTTCCACTTATTTTCCCGCACCAAATGAGCAGCTTTTTCTTGTAGGACAACTCAGTTATTTCTCAACAAGTGCATTTTGAAGTGCTGTGTGAAGTGGAACTTACATTGCTGATAACTAATCACACCGTCCCCATGTTCCCACCCAAGAATGCTTAGATCAAACATGACCTTTTGGAGCTTGTCTTTTGCTCTAACATAAGGCCTCTTTGTCTTGATCAGCACTTAGGAATGGTATGGTTACCAGTCTTCTGCAGCTGAACTTCCAGTTACTTTGATAATTGGTATTGGGGGGGGGGAACTTTGTATGGGTAAAATCATGCTGTCTGGAATAGTTCATGTGGGCAGTCTGGATGTCAGATTGCATATCTCTAGAGGTCTGATGGCACTTAAATCTTAGCTTTCCTTGTGATTTCAGATATCACCATTACCAGAATGGTGCAGGGGCTAGCGAAAAAGAAGCATCTCTGATAAGAACAAGCTTTAAGTTTCAACATTTAGAGAATTTGAACTTCCCTCTCACACATACGCATCTCAAAGCGTTCTCAAATGCAGTCAGTTTTCATCACAGTAAAGTGACAACTTTGTATGGGTAAAATCATACTGTGTGGAATAGTTCATGTGGGCAGTCTGGATGTCAGATTGCATATCTCTAGAGGTTTGATGGCACTTAAATCTTAGCTTTCCTTGTGATTTCAGATATCACCATTACCAGAATGGTGCAGGGGCTAGCGAAAAAGAAGCATCTCTGATAAGAACAAGCTTTAAGTTTCAACATTTAGAGAATTTGAACTTCCCTCTCACACATACGCATATCAAAGCGTTCTCAAATGCAGTCAGTTTTCATCACAGTAAAGTGACACTGAATATTCTACAGACTTGCCCTTGACTTGAGATTCATACTTTTGGCCAAAGCAGCTACTTGCCAGTTTCACCTCAGCTGTCTGTGGCAAAAATCATAGCAAATGCCAAGACTTTGTAGAGAAGTCGCTTGCCAGTTTCTCAAGACTTCCTTAAGACTAATTAGCTGTAGTTTTCAGAGAAGTAGCCATGTTAGACCAACTGCTATGCCTGTATTTTAATGTGAACTTTTGTGTATCAAGTCCACTTCCTAGACAGAGTGAGGCTGTTTGATTGCCATATTTATACATGGCTCAATGGGAAACAGATAATGGATAAAGTGACAATGGGAGTTGTAGTCCAAGAACATCTGGGGACCTAAGGTTGGGAACCACCAGTGTAGTGGGTAGAGTTACAGGTTGAGTTCAAATCTCTGCACAGCCATGGGAGCTCACTGGGGGTGCGGAACTGGTAAAACCACTCATTAAATAGTTTTGATGGCACAGAAAAACAACAATGACTGAAGAATCTTTTATTGATACTCATTCATTTTAAGTGGGCCTCCATCATCCCTATATAGCTTATCTCAGCTGTTTCTCTTTTGAGTCTTGTTTTGTACTGTTTTTTTCCTGAAACACAGTAGCTTTCAGATCATTCAAAGAGTGCTCTTAAGTCATTCGGTGTAGTGGGTAGAGTTACAGGTTGGGACTCAGGAGGCCTGAGTTCAAATCTCTGCACAGCCATGGGAGCTCACTGGGGGTGCGGAACTGGTAAAACCACTCATTAAATAGTTTTGATGGCACAGAAAAACAACAATGACTGAAGAATCTTTTATTGATACTCATTCATTTTAAGTGGGCCTCCATCATCCCTATATAGCTTATCTCAGCTGTTTCTCTTTTGAGTCTTGTTTTGAACTGTTTTTTTCCTGAAAAACAATAGCTTTCAGATCATTCAAAGAGTGTTCTTAAGTCATTAAATCCTACACTGATTCCCAGAATTCCACACTAGCATCAACTATGCTATTGTTACCTTATAGATTTATAACTGCCATTATTAACAGCCTGATAACCTATTCCATTACTAATAGATTACTGACACATTGTCTGTTACCACCCCACCAGGTCTTGGGACTATGTATAACTGTGACAGTTACATAGTCTCCATCTTATTTCTGAGAAAGTGGACTTGATCCACAAAAGCTCACATTAAAATATAGCATTTAGCATATTCACGAAGGCTTTCACGGCCAGAATCTAATAGTAGTTGTGGGTTTTTTGGGCTCTTTGGCCATGTTCTGAATTCTGAAGGTTGTTCTTCCTTTGAAGATGCCGGCCACAGAGACTGGCGAAACGTTAGGAAGAACAACCTTCAGAACACGGCCAAAGAGCCCGAAAAACCCACAACAACCAATAGCATTTAGCCTTGAAGGTGCCACAACATTTTTGTCTGTTTTGTTTTGAGTTAGTTTTGTCTTGTTTGTTATTCATCCATTTTCATTCCAGGCTTTCTGGGTGCTTCTCATCTCCTTGTATGGAGTTTATGTTGAGATGCTCGCAAGGAGATAAAAAGTTCAGTTCCTTGTCTGCCATGTCTATAACCATACTCTCCCTCACTTTTCTCTCTCCACGTGCACTGAATATCATGCAGTCATGTTTGTTGTGGCACTTAATAGCACTTAACACTTGTGCCACAATGTCAGCAAAACAGTGCAAACACTGTAAACAAATACGTAATACAAATGTGCAACTCTACCTCCGTTTTATTTCCTAGGAATGTATCCTTTCAGGCATCATGTCTGTGAATGGCAAGAAGGTCTTGCACATGGACCGGAATCCATACTATGGGGGTGAGAGTTCATCAATTACTCCCTTGGAAGAGGTAAGGGACCAGAGGTACTCTGCGTGAGATGCGTGTGTGTAGCTGTGACAGAAATAAAGCTATTAGGCATTGTTCCTTGATGTCTAAGAGTGCATAGAATTCAGATCCCTCTGGAACTATGCACTCAGTAGATGGGCTTAGGTAAGACATGGTCTGTAGGCAAAAGACCCCTTCTGTGGCAAAACATGGTTTTAAAATGGTAGTCATCTTACATGAAACCCTTTCAGCACTAACAGTCCAAATACAGTACAAGCTATTCTGTTACCCAAATTGTAATCCTTCTATTCAGTTGCTCAGGAGAAAACCAAAAAGGTAAAGTTATATTTGTACCCCAGTTTATGTTTTAAAGGACCATAGTACTGCAAGGTGGTATTCTGCCATGAAATATCATGTACAGTAGTAGCAGTAGTCACACAATTAGTTGGTGGCAAAGCTTGGGCACATTACTTTTCAGACTATTGTTCCAAGGATTCACTGGCCATACTCATTGGTGGATGCTGGGAATTGCTATCAAAAAAAAAAAAAGTAACATTTCCAGGTTCTAGGATGGGGTGGGGCTGAATAGGGAAGGCATCGTTAAGGAAGGCAAAGTCTTTCTGTACCATCTCCAAATCTCTTGATGCTGCTAAGGTTAATTCTTCTGCTGTATCTTGCTGGCAGATGTAATGCTATGTTGTGCTAATAAATGCATTCTCCTTCAAGTGTCTTCCTGGAGTGTGTGTGATGCTCTGTTCTTTTTTCATCTTTTTCCTCTCCAGCTCTACAAGCGCTTTGGTATTGCTGATGGTCCACCTGAATCCATGGGGCGTGGCCGGGATTGGAATGTTGATCTTATCCCCAAATTTCTCATGGCCAATGGTAAGGTCCTGCTCCACCTGACCTCTTGGTCCAAAGAGATTATGCCTTTTTCCTTTAAATAAAGGAGGGACTAGTGTGAGCTAGCCTTTGGCCCTCAGATGTTTTCAGCAGCAACTTTCATCAGTCCCTTTCAGCAGGGCCAATGATAAATGACTGTGGGGGTTACAGTCCAAATAAGTCCTCCAGCCCTGCCATAGAAGAACAATTCACAATGATTAAGGAGATACCTAAATAATAGCACCATGAGATGTATGGGTGGACATTTATTTCTTTCCTTGCTGTACACTGGCATTGATGAACAAGCATCTAGTCATAGCAGAGCATGGAGAAGTTACTCTTCTCCTGTACCCGCCAGCCAGCATAGCCAAGCTCTGAGATGAAGTTTCTGCGCTCCCTGAGTATGTGCCCCACAGCTCTGCCAGTACATGGCAGGTACATATATTTGGTAAGATGTTCATGTGTTAATTGCAGCTTCTTGTGACCTCTTGCCGCGAGTGATTTTTTTCCCTTGCATTGAGCTACTAGCCAAAATACAAGGGTTCCAGTGGTCCAAATTAGGCATATCTCCTCCCAATGTAGGCCAGCTGGTGAAGATGTTGCTCTATACAGAAGTGACACGTTATCTTGACTTCAAAGTGGTGGAGGGAAGCTTCGTCTACAAGGCAGGAAAGATCTACAAGGTGCCGTCAACAGAGACAGAGGCACTAGCATCTAGTAAGTAGACCCTCATTTAATGTCTGTTGGGAAAAAATTATTGTGAAATTGCAAGACAGTCATATCTACATTTATTTGTATTTAATGTAATGTAATTTAAAATGTATGTTGTGCTTTATAATTTAGCAATAGGATATAATAGCAGATGGACAAACGAAACTATTCTGTGTGAAACAGCTATAAATGCACAAGAGAAACCCATATAAAAACCAGGCTATATAATGGCATTAGGAAGATCGTTCCTGGAGATTGGTTGGTTGGTTGGTTGGTTGGTTGGTTGGTTGATTGATTGATTGATTGATTGATTGATTGATTGATTGATTTGCAAGTTCCTAGCTAAGCCACACTTCTTCCTTTTTTGGTTTTTCACATTACATTGAAAGGCATGTTCTTACATCTGAAAGGTTTCCTTTCTGAGAACCACTTCTTGGAGGAAGCTGCTACTGTGAACATGCAGGCAGATGTTGTTACAGTAGCAGATGTATCTTTACATCAAGAATGATTGCCTAATTCATGTTTCACCTGATCTAAAGGATCAAGAGACTTAGCCCCAGAAGAAGGTAGTGAGAAGGAATCGGGGCAGAACACCTAACCAGACAAGATACACTGGGCAACTTTTCTGTGGCTGGTCACTTAGAACTTTTGCTTAGTAACATGTTCTGTTTCAGTGTACAGCTGGTAGGTTCTGTCCCCAGACCATGAGGGTCTGCCTCAACAGAAATAGTTTTATTTCAAGTGATCTATGAGATTCTGGAGTCCAGTGTGTGATGATACCAGCTTTTGCACTGTCCTGGGCTGTGGGTTAGAGTCATACTGCATGGAGGCTGCATGATGAGCTCCAAGGCCATTTTTGTGGTCACCTCATCCCTCTGAAAACCATGGTGCCAAATTTTGGGGGAGCACTGCACCGCAAAATGTTAGTGGCAATTAAAAAAGTTTCTCCTATGATTCCTTGGAATTGGCAATGAATTCAAAGCTGCATGGAGGCTGCATGAGCTCCAAGGCCATTTTTGTGGCCACCTCATCCCTCTGTAAACCATGGCGCCAAATTTTGGGGGAGCGCTGCACCGCAAAATGTAAGTGGCAATTAAAAACGTTTCTCCTGTGATTCCTTGGAATTGGCAATGAATTCAAAGGAAACAGCACGTGTTTGAATTGCACTTGCTTGCCGCTGAAGGGTCCTTGTTCATGGCAGTGGTATTTCCCTAGGGTGACAAAATTGGCTCCAAGGCCTGCAGCATTCCCATACTGAAATATGTTATTCTCAGCCTCAGCAAATCTTGGGAGGGAAACAGGAATGCCATCTCTTTCTCTCAGTCTCCCTCACCTTGAAGATGATGTGCTTTTATTTTGTTGACATCACCCTGTGAATTGATGCCCCTTTCAGTGGAGATGCTAGAGGCTGAACCTGGACTCTGTTTGTAGTGGAGGCCCTATGAATTCCTTGATATGCTATCTACAACCTGCTTGTCTTCCTTCCCCTCAGATCTCATGGGCATGTTTGAGAAACGGCGCTTCCGCAAGTTCCTGGTGTTTGTGGCAAATTTTGATGAGAATGACTCAAAGACACTGGAAGGTGTGGACCCTCACAGCACTACTATGCGTGAAGTCTATCGGCGCTTTGACTTGGGCCAGGATGTCATTGACTTCACAGGACACGCACTGGCGCTCTATCGCACTGATGAGTGAGTGACTGAGCAGAACTCGTATTCAGCAACGTACGGCATCCCTCTCCATGCCTTACTCATTCCTGATTATGTCTCACATTGCATTTATTGGCTTTTCCCTGGGGAAGGATAGGTCAGCTGAGAGTAACTGGACACTAACTTGGTCGGTAAACATATCCCTTCTGGTACTGGCTGGTAGGTTCTGGTGCAAGGAAAAGAGTTACCAAGGAAACCTGACAAAACCGTTACGGTTTCACTTGGTTTTATTTTTCTTCCTCTGGCACTAGGTCTCTGTGTAAATCCCTGTTGCTCTCCTTCTTTGGGTGGGACTAAGGCAGGATGTTTTCTCTCTTCACAGTTACTTGGATCAGCCCTGCTTGGAGACCATCAATCGCATCAAACTGTACAGCGAATCCCTGGCCCGCTATGGGAAGAGCCCCTACCTGTACCCACTTTATGGTCTGGGTGAGCTTCCCCAGGGCTTTGCCAGGTACTTAATCTCATAGGAACTAAGTTCATAGGAGTCTTGCCTCTGATCCATTTTACTTCTTAGGATCAGTGCACAGGAATGGCATTACGTCTAGCATTACTCCTGTAACAAAGCTAATGTCTCACCATGACCACCATTCTTTTCCAAGAAATTTGGACTTCAAGCTTTTCATAAATTGCCAAAATTAATTGTTTGCAAATTCTGCAGAAATGTATGTTCTGAACTCAACATCTGGGACTGTACAGAATTCAGATTTTTTAAAAATCTTTTTGTTAGGAAAAAGTTATAGAAAGGAAGTGATAAGCACCTTATTATAAGCAGCATCACTGAATTAATTGCTGAATGGTGAATCAACAATTAGATAAATTCTACTGAATCAATAGATTTACTCTATTTCAGATTAGTGGTTGGATTTAAGCCACTAATCCATGAGGGGTGGTGAGGATGCTCCCTTGTAAATTATAAACAACAGCACCAAATGGTACTGTGTAGGAGAAATACACACTCAAAGGGAGAACAGAAAGTTATTCAAAGAACACTTGTATATTAGATCCTTTTACAAATATAAAAAATAGCCACTCCTTTAAAAAAGTATAATTTTGCTTTTTAACTTTAGGAAACAACTGCATTTCATACTGGTTGTGGGAAACAAGCTGCTCTAATGTTACATATATATAGCTAGTTACAGTGATATGAGGGTGAGTGAAGGCCATGGGAAAGAAGATCCTTGTGTGTTTGGGACTGGTGAACAAATTTACCCCTTGTAGCTCAGCTGATTGTTTGTTTGGGTTGGGGATGGGTTGAGCTGTGTCATTCATGTTCTTTACCACCTCCTTCCCTCCTCATGCCTTCAGGCTCAGCGCTATCTATGGTGGCACTTACATGCTCAACAAGCCAGTGGATGAGATTGTCATGGAAGGTGGCAAGGTCATTGGGGTCAAATCGGAAGGAGAGGTGAGCATTGGACACCGGTGCCTTTACACCTGTGTGGCAAAGAGGCTTGGAAAATCCTCCTAGAAGCGAGAGTGTGCTAGGAAGACTGTTAAAAGAGAACTGGAGAAAATCAGCCCTGCTCCTATGTGAAAGTGTGGCTCATGAGGTAGTCCAGCTTTATCTTTGATGTGGAGGTGCCTGATCAGGATGAGTCCAAGACATCTTTTTGCCTTAAGGGCCTATCTATGTCAAGTTGTATAGTACTTAAAGTTTACCAAGTTATTTTGGTAAATGAAGTAGAAAACACATCTCCTCTTCTCTGATTGGTGGGAAAAGGAATATATGGGCATTTGGTCTGGGTTAGGGGCAGGCTGGTTTGTTCCTTTTCCCAGTGACTACATGATTGACAGGCCATTGTTAAGCAGCATGCTCCAATTGATGCCTACCCACACATTCCTGGGTCCCTGTCAGGGGCAACCTTTGTGTGTGTGTTTGTGTGTGTATGTAGGATTCCTCTGTTTTTGTTCTATTCCACTGTGTATGATCACTGGGATCACACCAAAGCGACTGTCTGTCTTTTTGCTGAAGCTGCTTAATAATCTTGAGAAATAAGACGCTTAACCTGCAGAGATTTGTTGCTAATGCATTAACTATACTTTGAAAGGGTTTTTTTTTAAAGGGCTTTCTTTAAAGGGCTTTTCAGAGCATTGCTGATGCACTGTGTTGGTTAGCAACAATTAAAAAGAAATGGAAAATTTCCTCTCCCTTCCCCTCCACAGGTGGCTGGCAAGGAAGTGTCCCATTTCTCAAGATTGTTAAGTGATGTAGGCAAAGGAGGAAACAGGCGGAATTTTTGGGTTCCCTCCCACCTTTAAAGGGACATAAGATTGGTCTAGATCAGTGGTTCCCAACTTTAGGTAACCTGGGCATTCTTGGACTGCAGCTCCCTGAAGCCTTCATCACTAGCTGTGCTGGCTGGGGTTTCTGGAAGTTCATTTATTTATTTACAGTATTTATTTAAAATATTTTTACCCCTCTTTTCTTCTTACAAAGGACTCAAGGCAGCTTACATCCTTGAAAGACAATGTCTAAAGCTGTAAACAATGAGGATACAATGATGGTTTACATCATGAAAAGACGTATTTAAAGCTAAGAACAATGAGTATAAAGAGGCAGCTTGCATCATTAAAAGACATTATTAAAGCTAAAACAATAAGTGTGCAAATACTGAAAAGGAACAAACAAATACAACTCTGAGAGATGCTAAACACAAGCAGTTCTAATGACCCAGTCAAAGCAGCAATGCATAACAGTCCCTCTAAAAGTCACTCATGTAGTTGCAATCCAAGAACACTTGGGTTACGCAAGGTTGGGAACCACTGGTGTAGATCATGCTGAACAGGTTCGCTTGAGATTTGGTGTGATTCATTCTTGTGTGTGGATGCAAAGATCACCCCAAATGACATACTGCACTTCAAAGCAACCCTATTTAGCACAATCTAGACTAATCTGGGCTGGGAGAATTGGGCCATCTAGTCACACTCTGGATTACCTGTACCACTGCCCAAAAAACCAGGACAGCCCAAATGTGCTATATCTTGCTGTTAGTTTGTTCTGTTTATCAGTTGGCCTAACCTGCTTTTGGTGTGGTGGCCAGTCGCAGTTCCTGCAACTGTAGAGTAGTAATATGATGCAACTCTGTCAAAGTTTCTGATTATCTGTTTAAGTTCTGTCGGCCATTGCATCAAGATAAAAGCTATGGGTTAGGCAAATACGAAGATTGTTCAAGCTTGTAGGAGTTGCACTATTTTTTAATTAAACCTCCGAAGTGTACCAACCAGGGTCAGGTCAAAATAGTGACAGAGGGGTGAGCACAGAATTATGGAATGAAATGCTTTGGAGTGTGTGCTCAAAATATGTTTTTAGTGCCATATATTCCTTTCACACAAAAATCCACCCCCACCTTCCCCTCAAACTTTCTATGTTTCAGTAACCTAATTTAGAGAGGAAAACCAGCGTTTGGTTATTGTTTATTTTATTTATTGCTTATAACAGACAAGTGTTATTTGCAATAGATTTGAGCACTGGCTAAGCCTATTTTGGTCCTCATCCCATTTCTTTGTGTTAAAAAAATCTCCAGCTGGCATTTAGCCAGAGACTTGATGATACCATGGGATGTGGCCACGTTCCTTCAAACATCATGTCTTGTGATGAGGTGGGATCTAGTGATCCATCTGCCAGAAGTGCCTCACACCAACTTAGCAGTTGAGATCCAAATTGAGAATACCTTGTGATTTTCAGCCATCCTTGTTTGAAGAAGAATTTTCCTTTCATGTTGTTTGCACTCAGCACCTTTTCATGTTTTTCAGGCTGACTCTGCTTCTCACACTTATCCATAAGCGAGAGAAGCAGTCACGTCAACTTCTGTTCTCTTTGAGAGTTGATTTAGACTGTTTAGACTTTCATAGTTGTTTTAGGGCAGTAGCATTAAATTACACATGGGTGTCACATACGGAGAGACATAGAAGTTGAAAAGATGTTAAGAATAATTATTATAGTCTACCATCCCTAAGTGTCTAATACTTTTAGCTTTATTGACTTGTTTAAAGGAATTCTACAAATTATTTGGGGATAACTAATTCCTTTCTCTCTGGGAGGGGCTATGTTTGATGGGTCATATTACATGTTTGCTTATATGACTTGGAGGAAAGTTCATGGCTGTGGTGAATACCTGTCTATACATTTGTTTAAAAGTCAATTCCTAAGCTGTGCCCTCTTCAGTATCTAGGGGTTGCATGCAAAGCAGAAGACTGGGCTTCTCCCACATCTCTTTGATAATGCTTACTCTCCCGTCACAGATGGCACGGTGCAAACAGCTGATCTGTGACCCCAGCTATGTGCCAGATCGAGTGCGTCCAGCAGGAAAGGTTGTGCGTGTCATCTGCATTCTCAGCCACCCTATCCGTGGCACCAGTGACGCCAACTCCTGTCAAATCATCATCCCCCAGAACCAAGTGGGGCGCAAGTCTGGTGAGTGCTAATGGCTATGGGACTTTAGAGATTAGGCCAGGGGAGGGAGGGAGAGTGGGAAGACAGGAATGGACTCTGCTTTGAGCTGCTGCTGCAGAATGATATGCCACGTACCTGGATCCTTACAGTAATGACTTTGCCCACCCCAAATACCACATTAAAGCATGTGAAATAGGACAGGCTGAGTGGGCATAGTGGGGCAAGAAACAGAACCAAGTTTTAAAAAATATAAATGTATCAGAATTGTATTGAACCAGAATCTTGGTCCTTGTAGTTCATTACTGTCTGCATGAGCAGCAGCTCTTCCAGGTTTCAGGCAGGGGTTCTTCCCAGTCCTTGCAGCCCTTGGCACTGAACCAGGGATATTTCAGGACAAAGCATATACTCAGCCTCTGAACTACAAAACTCCCAACAGCTGGAATAAATACTGTTGTCTTCCATTCTAGAAGGACGCCTTGGCACTTGAGTGCCTTATGGAGGCTACTAGATTTGGGATAAGGGCCACCATTGGACAAGCTTTCTAACCTTTGTCTTCACTTCCCCACCCAGATATTTATGTTTGCCTCATCTCATCTGCCCACAATGTGGCTGCCCAGGGCAAGTACATTGCTATTGCCAGCACTACGGTGGAGACAGATTCTCCTGAGAATGAAGTACAGCCTGCCCTTGAACTGCTTGAACCCATTGACCAAAAGTAAGTGCAGGAAGGAACCAGTGGAGTCAGGGAGGAGGCAGTTCTTCAGGAGGACTGTGCTGAGAGTCCCCAACACTGCAAGTTCAATCTCCTTTACTCGCACTGATAATGGCTAAGCCCTGTGACAAAGGGGGGGCTGGAAAGAAAATCTGGGTGGTGTAGGGGTAGTGGAATAGAGGATGTGAAGGACAAGGCTCTGGAGATACTGAGGTGGTGGGTCTTCAGTACTTGAAAGCATTTTGAAAGAGGGTTTTAGGGCAAAAAATTACCTCCTTTACACATATTTTTCCTCCCTGTAGGTTTGTGGCCATCAGTGACATTTATGAGCCTACTGACGATGGAACTGAAAGTCAGGTGAGACTGTCCAGCACATACAAAGGGAGAAACTTTCTGAACTGGCTCTGAAGAGGGTCATGGCTTTTCTTTCTGTCTGCTGACGCCCATCTTAATTAGAAATGGGCACGAACCAAAAAACGAACCAGGAAGTTTGTTAAAAATCACTGGTTTGTTGGTTCAGGTCACTTCAGGTTCATCAAAACCAAACTGAACCAATTAACTTTTAAAGCTTTGCTTGATTCAGTGGTTCAGTTTTGCCCATTTTCTCCCCCCCTC